CGAGGATCTCGAGGCCGGAGGGGGAAGAGACATCCAGCCAGACAAAAGAAAAATTGAGAAAACGTGGATGCTGTGGACGATATCGAGGCATTGTCTCACTTGTAATTACTACTCTTCTACGAACCGCGGTTTTGGGAACTTTTTACAAGACGCTGGTAGATGCTGGTAGGCAAAAGCGATCGGTAGGTGTGACAGTATAAAACGACGTTTCGCTTTTGTCTTCCGAGTACACCATCCTAGGATTCTTGGAAATCAGCCCGTAGCGATCCGAGCGAGTCGGTAAATGTACTACTGTCCAAGAATTCCAGTTTACGATGGTCAGAGGGTACTAAACCGATGTCCAGGGGCCACGAAGCCACGCGAATACTTTATTTGTCCAGCTACACACATTATTATTCCCTTCCTGTGTCTCTCCATATATCTCGAAGTTTGGCATTGAAATTCTCTTTTTTGTTCTGGTCACGAATGCAACGATAAGTCCAGTTACGTAAGCTCACCGCGTTACGTGTCAGTTACCTTTATTTCACGCGTTTTCACGCCGAGACACGTCCTCCTTCGCTCTCCTCTATTTACTTTTTCGACGTCGATGCAAACACTGCACGCGTGGCTACCGAGTTTCGCAATTCGGACGCATCATCGGCTACTGCGACAACGAGTTATCGCTTCTGGCTCGATGTTAAATCGTTCCCGCAACTTCCACTTCAATTCCAACGGGCGAATTTTATTCGCATCGCACCGCAAATTCAATGGGACCGCGAGCGCAAACATTGCGGGTGTCGGGACGGACTAAACGGCTCGTTACGTTCACGAAAAATTATCGAAACGCGTTAATTCCGTTCCCCGCGGGACCGGATAATGAGCAGAAGTGCGTTTATCGAGGCTCTGCCGGTCGAATTTCGTTCGGTCCACTTGACCGTTTTGGCTATCGCGAAAATAAATTCTTCTAGTGGATTTTCCGAGGCATTTTTCCGACCGACGTTAATTTAGACCGAAGGCGATCGCGAAAGCCGCGAAAATACTCGTCGAGGAAACTTCAATTTCCAATATCCCCATCGAGGGCGTGAAAGCTACGCGAATACTCAGTCAGAAGGCTCGTTCGTACGGCCTTCAATATCCTTTCCGTTCCTGTGACAGAAGGGGGAGGCGTAGGGCGAGGGCGACGGCGAAGTTAACATCCGTTTCATCCGTAAATAGGTCTGAAAACGTTGGAAAGGAGGTTTCCCCGGATCCGAGGCGGGCTCTCGGAGTCGAGGCTTTTGAAATCCACGCAGCGGAAGGCCCGTCTGTTTGCACGGAGGCCCTCCATTCACGCCGTCTGCAGCGAATCAATATTGATACGGACTTTATATGTGGAACGCGGGTTCTGTACACGCCGTACCGTTGGAATGCAATATTAATAGGACCCTCGAACAATACACTTGCTACCTGTGTACACGCTACGCGGCACCGATATTTGCTTAGGCGGCCTGGTTCGCGCTGTCATCGTCGTCATAGATAACGAGGTGTCACCGAGCAGACACGATTGTTCATAATTTCGAACGTGTCGCGTTCACGCTTCGTCCCCGTGCTGTCGAGATGCGTTTCTATAGGTCAAGGATGACCGTACAAATAGATCAAATAGATCGGTAAAAAATTTCTTACGTTATTCTCACCACTGTACTAACCAGTAGAAGACGAAGGCCAAGAAATAAAAAAAAAGTAGAGGAACGATAACTATAGCTGTCCTTTCGCGGGATAAAGAAGTTGACGTACGAAATATGCAAGGACGACCGTCGCAAAGTTAGGACTCGTTGGTAAATTAGAAATTCTAACGAAGATTAAAACGAGACTCGTCCAGCCTCTCGGCGCTGCTCGGGCCAGGGGAACCTGGCGTAAAGATCTATGCAAAACGGCACTTGGAACGAGCACGAAAGATACGCGGGCGTAAGGGTAGAAATGGCCGACCGTGTAGGTCGGCTCGCCGAAATGTTCCCCAGAAGACTGCATCAACTTCTTTACTTACGTTGCGCTTCAACGGACCCATATTTCCGACCAAGCATAATGCTTCTCGACTTTAATACTTGGTGGACGAGCTCTGGGCATGCTTCGGCACGATCCGCTACGGGACGATCTTTGAAGCGTAATATATTCGTCAAGCACAGGGGAGATCTTTCACATTTATGTAATTTTAATTTTTTTTTTATTTTTATTTTTTTTAAGCCTTGCGATGCTTTTGTTTCTCCTTACAAAAAACCACCCAAACCCAAACCCTGCCCGTGTCGTGATCGAGCGTCGCTGGTCCCCGCTATTGGCGAAGAAAAAGTAAAACGGAGAAATCCATATGGACGACGAGGCGACGAAAAACACAGTTCACGTCGACACGTATGTACGATCCCGCTCCGCGGTATTTACCGATTCTACGTTTAACTGGATGTTTTCGGGGTTGGGAATAAAACCGAGAGCGGAAGGAGGGTGGAAGGCGAGGGATGGTCTGGGCAAAAACGTCGAAATATGGCGGGTACCGCGGAGGCAGCCGTATAATTTCCGACTCAGCGCGGCTCGCCGAATTCTCGTCAACGTTTCATTCGCTGGCTCTCCACCCTCGCTCGCCCACGTACACGTGCACACGTGTGCAAACCTGTTCTCACCCCTTTTCGGACGCAGTTTGTCTGTATTAATGCGCGACAACGGTCGACGCTGAAAAACGCGCGGAAAGGAGCGACAGCCATCTTTAATACAGAAAAATAATTTCACCGGTTAACCGCGCTAAAATGTAAAGTCCATTGTTTCGAATCTATGTAATGGTACTCCTCTACTTTTTATCATTTTGATAAAAATTTTTACTAGATGCTTTCCGTCTCTTTTTCCCCATTTTCATGAAACGACCAAGGGCTTTTAAGTTTCAGGAAATGGTATCGACGCCGGAAGCGCGGCTAGAGCGCTTTTAATTTTTTTTACGAGGTCGTTACTCGTTAATGCCCTTTGAAGAGGCATTAGAGAAGGCGACCATCCGCGATACGCGGATAGCGAGGCTCGCGACTAACTCGCTTCGCTATCTTCCTCCTCTGCCTTCTACGGTTCAACTATTTCCGTGGCGCGACCGTGAACGTGGAATGTAGGCCCTTGTCACGCGACGAAAGGTCAACTCTCGGAGCACGTGAGCAATTTCCAGGAAACCCGCGTACGTGGGGTTCGCATTCGGGTGTATCGATCGACCGCGAACTCGCGAGATTTTTCGATGATTCTCGCATCTCCGAATTTATTCGACGATGCCCAGACCTGAGGATATATCTTACGATTACGTCTGAAAAGTCGCAGACGATCCGCGAGAATCGCTATTCTAACGACGATAACGGCGAAACCGATCGAGTAAGACTCTGCCAACCACTGGGTTCTTCTTCCAAGAATCAGCGGGAACTCAGGCCTCGCCTCTTTCTCGTTACGCTGGTGTTCCGCTCTAACGAATCGCGCGAACTTGGAGTCGTGGCTCGCCTCTAACCGAGCAGTTGTAGAATCAGCTGACGCGACGGTGAGAGGCGGCCGTGGGGCTCCTTATCGCTTTCGTATCGCGCCTCCGTGCCGAACCCCGTTACGCGTTCGCTTGCATCATTCTCGGATCGTTGTCCTGATTGACGTAACGTTTGTTTACAACGCGGCTAGCTCGCGGCAAGATTCGTATTCGACGATTATCAGCGCACGCGAAACTATTTTTGTTGCGCGCTTACGGTGCTGGCGGTTCTTCGCGTCGATGCACGCTCGGGGGAACAGCTTTCGTGACGTTAAACGATAAAATAACAAAGACTGCATACTAGCACGCACTAGGAAATACATACATCTACCCATCTGTATAACCGAAGCGATCATGGCGATCATCCCTGTTTTCCGATGTTTCAGCTATCCTACAAATCCCTCGCATACCGAATTCACGCAACGATAGAGAAGACATCGAGAAGGTAACGAGTTAAGCGGTGCCCAGTGAAGCCTCCTCTCTTGGAAAGTGATTCAATTCCGTTTAAGAGACACGAGTAGGTTTTGAAGAAGAGAAGGAGACCGACCCCGTACTCTATACCGGCGGCTATGTGCCTTATCTAGGGTGGTCGCGTTAAATCGTGACGCGTGACTGTGCATACCGAAGACGCAAGTATGTACCCAAGCGGCGCTTGTCCTCCTCCCTCGTCGCGATTGACCCTCCTGCGATTCGTTTGACGTACGTCGAGTGTCGGATAAAGCAGCCAAAGAAGGATGTAAATCGTTCCTACTTGGAAAACACGTTCGCCCTCGCGTTATTCTATATACGAAAAGGTCGGTAACGCGTATTTCTTATCTTTCGTTATATGCAAGCGTGCAAAGGTTGATCGAAATTGCAAATACGCGTATACGCGTGAGACGAGATACTTCGGGGATGTTTCTTGTCACAGTCGGAAATTCAAGAATCGCGCGTGGGTAGGATGAATTTTCCGCAGGAAGAGCTGGCGATTCGAGGCAAACGACTCGTTTCACGGAAGCCCTCCGTTCGATCGTCGAACACGGGTAACGTGGAAAACAGAATGGGTTATCGAGCAGCGGCCGTTTCGCTGGCGGCACGGAACGGGATCGCTTATTGGTTTAGTCACGGATCGTTTGACGCGATTGGTCCCCGCGGACTCGCCGGAAAATATGGGTCGAGACGCCCGTAGACGAGCCATCTCGTCGGCTGCCTTTTCCACTGCACCGTGCAACGCCCAACGCAATTTCCTGGATAACCTAAACGCCATCGCGTCCATTTCAAAGTCTCTCTGCCAACGATTCGGTGGAACGAGAGTTTCGACGTTTAACAGAACGACGAAACTCGAGCAAATTTTGTTGCGCGACCAAGTCGAATAGGGCAAAGGTTAGATATTCGATTGCATTTTGAAACGATCATCAAACGACGTGTAATAAAGTAGCGCGAACGACGACGCGTTTGGACTCGTTTCGCGGACAAAATAAACCAAAGCGACGAGGACTGGACGCTATACGAAGAGCAAGGTAAATAGACTCACCTTTTCGCGAAGCATGTCCCGTACTCTAGTGGCCTGGCTTCTGCTTCTGTGAAGCTCGAGTTGTAGCTCGAGACACCTCTCCTGCCAATTAAGCTCCTCGACGGCGGTCGAGTATCCATCGAAGCTCTTGGACGCGCTGTAAGCGGGCCTGTTCTCGAGCTTCTCTTTCTTCGCGTCCGAGCTAGCCGCGGGAGTCCTCTGCTCCGCGAACAGCCGTCCCTCGGTGAACATCCTGGACCCTGGGAGTTCGGGTTGCTTCCCGGAGAACGAGTAAGCGCGGTCCGTGTGTTGATGTCCCGAGCGTGGCGAGGGTCCTGGATCGAAATTTGACCTGGTTCTGGCCAACGCGGCTAAATCCTTGGCGTCGTAGCAACCTGCCGTCCCATCCAAGTCGGTTTGGCCGGCGAAGGTCCTCTGCTTGTCGGCGTATTCCACGTGGCCGCTGGATTCGGACGTAAAGTCGTAGGGGCTGCACTTGGGCTTGGTCTCCCTGAGTTCGACGTAGCCAGCGCTCCTGGCAGTTTCCGCGAACCCTTTGGTTTCTTTCTGGAACAGCAGATTCGGTACGTTCACGTACGGGGAATCCCTGGTGTGCACGGGCAGCGGCAAACTGGACGAGGTCGGCTGGTGGGCGACGTTTGCGTTGTTGTTGGCATGTCTGGGTCGCGGCGGCGGGGCTGGAGCCTGGCGTAGCTGACGCGGCCAGAGTCGAGGACTCTCCGGCCCGCTGGACTGTCCTCGACTCGACTCTGGTCCAGGCTGCCTGCGCGAGGAGTCAGCTGCTCCTTGGACCATCCCCGAAGCCTCATGGCCGCGAACGCCCAATCTGGGGCTGCAGGGGGCAGAGTTCGAGCCAAAATCCGTGGCTAGCCGCGCGATCGGATCGAGGATCTGCGAGAGACGGCGCGCAGGAGAGCCCCGCACCTCCTCCATCGTGGCTCGGCTCGCTGGGTTGTCTGCGTGTGTCGTCCTCGGTGGTGCTCGACGCCGCGGGCCTCAGTGCATCGCTCGGCGGCGTGGCTGATCCCTCGCGTTGCCTCCTTGCCTCGAGGGATCACGTTGAAACGCGCGGAACGTACGTCGCGGCCATCTCAGGGCGATCACGATCTCACGCGCTGCTGCGGGCATCGTTGCTCACATCCTCGCGGCGAAACGGTGACCTGCAACACCAGAGACCCTATGGTTACGTTACTATGAATCGCTTAATCGCGCTCGTCGTTGGAAATACTCGAGACAGTACGCAAGAGACTAGACTCGAACGGGGAACTCTGGTGGGAACCTACCTCGACGAATCGAAATGTTAAGTCAAAAATCGTTCGGAAAGGTGTCCGAGAACCGTTTCGAACAGGACGCTCGACAACGCGTGACCGATGTCGAAGATGCTTTGATCGCCGAATCGTGTGGCGCCTCGAGGCCACTTCCACGACTACGAGTGACGTCATCAACTACCCCCACCCGCCTCTTTTGACGCCGTTGTGGGCGGGATTTATTTTACGAGGCCTTGATGGAACAGCCAACTGATTTGGCGCTGAGAATACCAGGACATGCCAATAGCGAATATTCAATTTTAGGTTAACGCTTTTACTCTTTCGCTGTCTAGACCGATAGTCTTTCCCCAAGGTGTCCCGCGTAAATGAAACAGCCAAGTTCGGTGTTGCTCGGCTTCGTGATCAGAAGTCACGCTCACCACTGTTTACGTTTTTTCAGCTCGAGCACTGTGTACCCAGCTCGCTGTTGTCTTTCGAGCAGCTCGTTTCAGTTCAACCGATTCAAACAAAAATTCTCTATCCGTGCTTCGCGTATCGATACTTGCTCTCTCAACTTTCGAACACATTGCGAGACGATACTTTATACTACGTGAAACGGATACAGCGACTTTCTCGAAGCCCCAACGTGGATTCCTGCCCGTTATCAAGCTACCTGTTGGCTCCAGGACCGTACTCGCTACATTCAGACCCGTTTGCTTTTATTTTTCTCTCGCAGAAACTGCATCGTCTACGCCTATTTTTAACGTAAAATCTTCCCGTATAGTAGGGCATATTTCGTCGAGGTGAGACTTCTTTGGTTACGCAAAATTCTCACAGGTGCGAAAAGGCTTTCTCGCGGCTCTAAAACGATGATTTACGACGGTATCGTCTTGCGTTTGCGTTTACGAGTCGCCATGTTCGTTCCACGAAGTTCGTCTCGGTTACAGTCATAGTTCGTACCGATTTAATCGCCCCTGACGAAGAAGCTTGGTCTCGGCGTTCCTAGGAAAACGGCGGCAACTTTCGCGGACTCGTTCGCGATCCACGCTGACGAGATTAGGCCAGGAAATGGAAGGCAGATATTAACTCGCGGCGAGTGTTTGCGCTACTAAATTGAAAGCTGTAACTCTTTGGGGTGTCTCTCGAAGCGACGCTCCACCTCCCAACCTCCCTCTTTCATTTCCTCGCGGTTCTTCGGCGTGACGAGGCACAGAAGAGGTGTAGAGAGGAGGAGGATCGAGAAGAACGAGAAAGCAACGGAGAGTCGCGGGAACGACAACGACGACGAGGAGGACGTCGACGACGAGCACGACGACGCAGGGCTACAAAGTTTATTTTAAGGTCGACACTAAAAGGGACTAAATGAAAAACCGGATGGAGGGGTGGGGGCCGTGTGACGTCCCGTTCTGCAATTACCGCGAGAGCGAGACGTCTGCCGCAAAGAGATGCTCGGTGAGCAGGAAGAAGGAACGTTACTCCGCGAACTACGAAATTGCGCTCTTCGGCTCGGTCCCTGGGTCGCCCAGCGCCCCTTTGACCACCAATTTCGTCGAGTGACGATGAACGATGGTCAAAGACGCGAGCGACATTGCTTTCTTAAAGGAGATTCCATTTCAATTGTCGAGTCACGGGCTATCTAGGGGATCAAAGTGACTCCTGACTTTTCGAGCTTCCGTAATAATAGTAATGCAGACGGCACACGAGCGATAGGATCAGACGGATCGCGAGTCAAATAACAAACGACGGCAGAAGATTCTCCGGTTTGACGATGCGTGAGAACTCGTAATCAAAGTCTGTTCGCTTAAGATAATCAGTCGATTCACGGACTCGATACGGCGATGCCACGTAACGAACATACGTAAGCGGTCTCGGTACTCGCGGATTAGGAACATGACTCTTTAACAAAGTCGAGTTCTTTCAGTCCTTCTGAGACTAATCGAAGCAGCGTTAAACTCGATGCTAACCTATCGTTAGTAGCGTTGGTACTTTAATTACCAAAAGAAGACTCTTTCCTTCGAACAAACTCGACTCGCTAAACACGAAAACGTTCTACCAGGGCGCATAACAAAATCCTAGAGGTGACTTTAAATCGCTTAATTAATTACGACGATGGGTTGATTCGAAATAGGAGCGGATGAGGTAAACGACGAGGCGGTGTCGTCAAAGAAGCGTTTTCATAGGGGTCAGGGTGCGAAGTTTTTTCTGGGTAGGAGAGAACAGAGAAATCTGCTTGCAGAGAAAACAGTAATTATACAAATTGGAGCGGCGCGACCGGAAGCCGAATCTTCGTCTAGAAATAACAGCGGGAGCTCGTTTCAGCGGAGTCGCGGACCCTTTGTGACTCCTCCAACATCTCTTCATCTGTTTCCACGCTCTTTCATACTCACTTTTTTCCTTTCTTTATTTTTTTATCGCGGAGCGAAGGTTTGAGCTAACAAGGGAACACTGTCTATCGACGAAACTTTGCAGAAATATTCGTCGGTTCGACCAGAAAATTATGCTTTTCGACTTTAAAGAACAAATTCCCTGTTTTACATTTGTTTAAACTAGATATGGGAATTTCAAACTCACCAAGCTCCGAAGGAATCGCGGAGCTTCGAGCAAACCTGTCCGCCAATCCACTGGAACGGAAATATCCTTCCATTGGACGCGAACTGTCCCGCGAGTTCGAGCCTCGATGAACAAACGTTACGCAACATGCTCGTAATCGATAACGATCCTCTCGATGCCGGGCTCGCTCGTGTTACGTCGTTACGCCAGCGTAACGTGTATTTTTATCCTCCACGATTGACCAGCCGCCCGCGAAGGAACACGCCGATGGATTTCGCGTTTCGCGACGAGACCGAGAAATGAAATATTCCGCGATATTTACAACGAATCCCTTTCAAAGTGTCGCAAATCTTCTCTCTCGTAACGTCGCAAAGCGATCTTTACCGCTTGCTGAAACTACCGACTCGGTGGGACCAGCAGCTGCGACTTTGAAATAACGAGTTACTCCAGCTGACGATAGTTATCGAGTGATTCCGCGTTTGTTGCACCAAGTACAGCGGTATGGTGTACGTCTCTCTCTAAATGTCGCAGTTCGGTCTCGAGTCAGTGGCACTTGGAAAGAATTCACTGTATCGATCCGAGACGCTTTCGCGAGCCGTGACGTTTTAATAAAGCAGCCATGCAATGCTCGTATTGCGCGCGTTTTATTATTACTGCACTGTAAATCTATCGGGGTCCGGTATATATCGACATGGGTTGATTTTATGCGGACTCTCGTCCCTTCACGCTCTCTCCACTCGTATTCTTCGTCTCTTTCGCGGCTTGCGCGTCTCCGGCATCGAGCAGTCGAACTCTCTCGCGTAATATCGCTCGGTTTACGAGCAAGCGATATCTTTTTCCGGGGCGGATACCGTGTACTTTTGGGATTGTCGTTTTCATGAAAGAAACGCCGCTCCTCGGACGACGAGAGCACTGTCCTCTGAGGGACCCGGGCGCAAAGATATACGACCGCAATAACAGCGAGTTTCGTTTCGACGTATAAATCTGAATACCTACTCGAAATACCTAAATCTCCCCGATCAGATCCGACCTGCGACCGTTTCAACGTGTTTCGCACCCCTGTGCCCCCGGGAACATTAACCCACGACGCCAACTTTTCCAATCTGGACTACTCACGGAATATCTGGGTCTCCGCGCGACTCTCCGACCGTTTTTTCAATTCGCTTTTCATTTTTCACAACTTCGGAGTATTTTTATTCTCCTGCATTTTCTTGGAATTCGACGAATCCTTGCGAACCAGTCAAAAATTTAAGGAAAGAGTGCTCAAAGGGAGCGTCGTCGACGCGAACACGGTCGGTCGATCGATCGTCGGGACTTGATTCTTAATCGTAATAAAATTACGTATTCATAGAAGGCCTGTTTGTTCTTTTTAGCTCGACTTCACCCTCGTTCTGTCGCGAGGTAGGCCTACGTGGAACGTCGCTCGCGTTCAGGCCACATGTACCTACGTAATACCCGGTTCCTATATAAAAGCGGCAGCTAGTGGTCCCGTAGAGTCCATGAATAAATTTCAAATTAACTTTCGAACGGTTTTCGCGTTATACGAGGCGCGACGGAGGCCCTCTTCAATCTGGCCGGCTCCTCCGAGAGGCAGTCGTTATAATTCGAAGGGCTCCATCCCCGAAGAGTTCCAGAAAAGAAACGTAAACGAAAAGTACGGATATACGAATACGTATCGTGTAAAGGGATCATTTTTCGAGAATTTTTCGTCGAGCTTGCATCCCTGTGGCTTGTGAAAAGTTAACTCGGACCGCTTTCAAATTAATCGGAACCAATTTACAGAGAGAATCATCAATAACTCGGCCTCCAAATTAACCGACCTTTCTTCCCGCTGTACCATCATAAATCACGGGTATTCAAGCTCCATCTACCTTTAACAAGCCACCACCGAGCCCACAATTATCCGATTCTTCTCGCATTAAAGCAGAGCCGCGCTAAGATAGCATTATGCGCATCTTTCTAACGTACCTTTTCATTCTTTTTATTTACTTATTCTCGCACCGAAAAGAACAAAGTAACTGCGTAAAGTTTAAAAAAAAAAAAAAAGCAACCGTTTCAAAAGAACAGTCGCAGTTGACGAAGCGTTAATCGAGCGCGTCGCACGCTCCATCGATTTCTCCGGGCTTTTCCTCGAAACCGACGTCTAGCAGGAAAATTCATTCCACGATTCAGTCTCATTTTTCGTTGAAAAATCACCTTGTCTCGGGCTAGACGCGACTATCACCGCGTATACGTATCGACACGGCTCGCGTCTAACGCTCTTCGCCCTGATCCTCCACCGTTCACCCCCGTGTTTCTCCCCTTTTTTCCGCGAGACGGCCTCGTCACATCTCTCCCCCGTCCCCGTTATGTATTATTTATGGCTCGATAGATCCCCGCAGAACGAATCCGATTCTTCGACCCGAGCGGACACCCTGTACGTCGGGGTAATTTATTCGACACCCTGTATGTAAAAAGGTGGGCTGGCGTCGGTGGCTTCGAATTCCACGGAAAACGAAGCTGCTCTGTCCTCGACGAGCGAAAAGAGCTCTCACGGTTCTACACCCCCCTATAAATCTCTCTTTCAAACTAGCAACCAGCAGTCGCTACGTCGCTCGCGTCTAGTTGTCATTGCTTCGAATCTCCTTTTAAATTGAACATTCTTTTTCCATTCGGACGGCCCTCAGAGAGTTTAGAACTGAGAAATACGTCGCTAAATCGTCGTCTGCATTAGCCATTGATACTCGTCGGAGTGCTACAAGTAGCCCTCGGCAGAATTATCATCGAGCGGAGTGCATGCATAACGAACCGTCAAATTTGAATGACTACCTGCGCCGAGAACGCAAAGGAACGATTTTTCAAGACAAAGATGGTGCGTCGCGGGAGGCCTGGCATTCCTTCCCAGTCAAAGATATTTCTATTTCTCATTCTAGCCGTCGGTCGTGTTGCTTCCCGTGCAATTTCTCCGTGGGGCCGAGCAGCGGCTAGCCGTTCGCGTACAAGTAGGAAAATAAAGGACGATGTCTCGCGTGGTGTCGCGTGCGAAGGAACTATCCCGCGGATACGTGACGCGAATACATCAGGGATGCTAATTGCGGATAGAAAGGGTATGCACGGAACCCCCGACGCGGAAATGCACGGGAAAGTGTCTGTCCAGCTTGCCCACGGGGACGAAACTTCTCGACGAACAAAAGTTCCGCCAATGAACCCTTTCGATCGACCGATGGTAATTACAACTTTTCCTCGCCGTTCCCTACTAGGCAAAAAACAATGGCGGGAAAGCGTGCGACGCGTTCAAACGTTTTGCTTGGGAAGAGATTCGAAAAAAGTTGGAAAATATGTATGAAAAATTTGCAATTTTACAACTCTCGAGACGTGGCGACGGAAGAATATAAAAAAAGAAATCGTTAATCCAAGTTTGTTGTTCGCACGGCTACCCTGCGTTATCGAAAGTTGACGCTTTCGCTCCAGCCTGCTGCTTTGCGTTGGTAAAGAGGACCACCAAAAGGCCAGGGGCAATGTTTGCCAGATTGCTATCACCGCGACCCGTTTTTATGGCATACAGATCGTCGTGACCCTAACGTTTCACGGGTCTCGCTACGAGCCTTTAGCGTGCCCGATTATATCTCGTAATAATCGGGCCGATATTGCGGGAAATATCGGTTTGGGGAAATGGTTCAGCGTGGCAATGTAAAACGCGGGGGATATATTCCTCCCGCGCTCTCGACTTTGGGAAACGTCGTCGGAGACCCGAAGAGTTTTACGAGCGGCGAAGAAAAGGGGACTTGTATGGAAATCGTGTAATGGGAGATAAAAATAGAAGTACGGTGCGAGATGGTTAGAACGAGAGGCGGAGAGGTGAGGCCAATCGCGACTAGGAGAATGGAAAGAGAAAGGAAACACGGTCGAAGGAACGAACGAGCGAGCGAGCGAAGGTGAGTGAAAGTGACCAACCAACGGTAAATGAATTATAGCACATAAATTAAACCCTGTTAATTAAAGTCAAAGCGAATAAATATCGATACGCGTTGCATAGGGCGATAAGTAAAAATTAATTAGCCAAGTAAGAATGCCGATGAATTTGTACTCGATTTTTATTGTTAGTAGGGTGAACTTTCTTAAAAACGAGACCGAGAGAAATTGGACGAAATTCAAAAACGTTTGTTTCTGTGTTGCGAAAGTAAATCGGTCACGAAGGGGACCCTGATTCGAGACCCTGACACCCCAATTGTTCGTACCGTTTTTCAAATGGACACGGGCCAGATCATGACCGAAACGCAGCAACCACGTCATCGATAGACCTTTATACTGGTTTGCTCGTTAGAGTGATTTGTCACTGGCGACAGACTCGCTTATCGAGATTCCAAAATTGGCAAGAACCCGCCACCGGGACGTTCTCTATCCTTGACTCGCACAAAAGTCGAACAAGAGCGTGAGTCATAAGGAGACGCGTAATGTTTACTTCCGAGCTGGATCGCAAGGACACAATGCTAAACTGTCGGTCGTAAACCGTTTCGGAAAACGCTGTGACATTGCATGGATATAGTCGTCAGGCTTCTCCTTCTCGAATTTAAGTTCAACGTAAAAAGAGATACCGACCTATTTACGTAAGTGAAGTATTCTTATCGCGGTAAACAAATTTGCAATTTCGACTAAACTATGCGAAAATAACCGAAGGAGACTAAATAAACTAGTTGGATAACTCGTGTCTTTTATTTATACAGCGTGAAAATGACTTGAAATAAAAAAAAAAAAAAAACTGATCCTCAGTTACAGCCAGCGTAATCGCCGTAACGTTGATACTCCTCAGCTTTCCTTCCTGCAATTTCAATCACGAACGGATGCACAAAACTCTAACAAGCTCGGAATCAAATCAAGTTAAATGATAAGAACAATTACAGAATTGAGAATCTCGCCATCGAACCAACCGAGCGCTATTAAGGGTCGTTAATAACCATTACGAAACCACTCGTGCATTTCCGGTGCAGGTAAAGAAGGATAGTAATAATTCGAAACCATTAGACCTACATAAGTCGATTAGACGATGTCGCGAACAATGGACACCAGCGTTCCTCCATGCTTTAAGAGAAGCAAAGACACGGATATCGAGTTTCGGATTTTTCAACGAAATTAACTATAAAATTCAATTACTAAGTTATAATATTGTCACCTAAATAAAAGGTCGTGCAATCGTAGGGTCGGATTTCTAAGAATGTCTATCGATCTCGGTGTTCGTTGACCGAAAATTTGTTCCCCTTTCACACGCCAACGAGATCGAATTTCAACGGCGCGAGCTAACCTAAGCATCCAGACAAAAATCCCGACCACGATTTCTTATATTCACGTCGTGAATCATCCCTTGGAATTCGAACACGTGTCCCAAGATGTATGTCACGTATGTGGCATAACCCATGCATCGAACTCCGATTCGAATCGTCTATGCAAGTCCGCCGTAACGGACGTAGTCGCTTTTTGCTATTTCCCAAAGATGTCTCGCGCACGCAATCCCCATATCATTGAATCGTTCGCTCTTAAGCCTTTTCTCTTATTGTAGATTGTAAGAGCAAACGATCCCTGTATCGTTATGCGATTATATACGATGAATTATGTTCAGGATGGAAGGAAAAGCTCGAAAGGAATTATTTGCTAAACTTGATACGAACGCAAATACGAAAACGTACAAGTATAGCAAATATATTACGAAGGAAAAGATACTCACCTCGAGAGGTTAGATGTCACAACTCGCAGAGTATGAGAGATTTCTTCGAAAACGCAGACGCGATGATATTTCGGGTTTCTTCAACTGGCATGCACAATCACATAAAAAAAAACACACATAGGAGAAAGAAACAGCTTCGAACATAGACTCGCTATGTTCTCTGAAGTAGAGAAGGTTCAACGACCAGAGATAAAACGCACACCAGCGTACCCTCGTAAAATCGAAAACCAGCCCTGCCGTAGTTCGAAAGCCAACCGGAAGGCGGAAAGCGAAGCACAGAGGTTTCTAAGCTCGATATGGTGGTTGAATCACGAACGGCCATTGACAAGGGAAAATTAACGCGTTGGATTGCCGCCGACTCCAAACTGACAACGGAACGTCCCGTGTAACCGACTAGCGTTGTGCGCGTACCCGGATGCGCACGCGACCGAAAACACAGTTTCTCGAGACATCGAATCGCGACACTCGCAAAAAACGCGGGAAACGATTATTGCCGACCGAAAATGGCGGGAAACGCTGATTACCTACCGAAAATTACGGTAAATTTACCGATCGAAATGAATCGTGATTCGCGAAAAGAATGTTCTTTTTAGTGTTCGGAGCGTGGTCAGGGGTTCTTAAAGCTATCGTAGAGGTTGGAAAGTGAAAACGATCGTTCGATCGGCATTCCTCCGTTTGTGTGAGACGTAACAATCGACAAACGATTATTTTGTTTAACAAACACGTTCCCGACGTGACGCAACGTACGAGGTACGAGGCGTGATTTATGTAAATCGTCGTGTCACGCGTAATTCCGGATTTTGTTGTTTTCATATTTTTATCGGATTCGAGGGGCAGTTACACCGTCAATTACAGTCGTTAAACATTGTTTTGTTATAATGTAATGGACGCCGCTCACGGAGCGCGCCCGCAGGCGAGCACACGGGTTGCATTTTACATAAATTACGTATATAGTTGTGTCTGGTTCGCGTGGTTGCTCGGCGTTATTGTCAAAATAATACGAGAGCAGGTTGCTGGCTGCGGGCTTGATAAAACAAATAGACCCGCGACACGTGAGTTGTATATTCGACCTTTCGCTGAACTGAACGGAGACAATTGTTTCCCGCGATCACGGAATCAAAACAAAACAAAACAAAACAAGAAAAAAAAGAACGAGACGAGAATAAAGTAGGAATCCGTCAAATATTTTTCTGCATTCAGGGGGTTCAACCAAAGGTTAAATTTGTGGAACGCTTTTTTGTGGAGGAACGGAATAAATAACAAAGGGTTCGTGTGTTAGTTTCACGTAACAACGTGCAAAATATTATAGTACGCATTCCGGTTTGTTGGTAAATAACTCTATTTGTATGCGCTTGGTCGTTGCGTATTTTATGACGCCATACAATCTGTTAAAGTTGGCACCGTTGATAAATGTATTTTGTTGTGTACATATGTACACGTATACGCATAACGTTTCGTATGAACTGTTACGAATTAAAATAAAAGAAGGTAAGTGAAACTAGACTAGTAAGACGGAACGAGTTAGTATGAGCTAGAATTTGAAAACAGTTTCTGATAGTTTAACCATTTTTAACACAGAAAATGCAAATAATACGAATAGTTTTTACTATTACTTGGATTTTCTTGGATCTCGAAGAATCATTGTATCGTGAAATTATAGGTTACATTTTTATGCGAATTATACGTCCGACATAAAATTGAATTTTCCAAAATTAATGGTTACCATGTTCTGAAAAGAACGGAACCCCGTAATTGAAGCTCATCCGTTGACAAGACGCGACGGGTTGGTTTCTATGGAAACGCATCGAGTGCGTTTCGCAGGGAGTTAATACGCGTAATTTTGTAGGAAGCGAACATATAGCTCCTCTGGCGAAGAAAGACAAAAAAACGAACGAGAAGAAAGAATGCAAATGGTAGACCGTACCAAATGTGCCGTCGTTTCTCTTATCGTCATTTATTAAAAGCCCCCGGTAAGCGGAACAATGCAAATGATCTCGTTATGAAATGCTCTTCCTACGTAATCCCCGTGGACACCGTTTGAGAAACGAACGTCGTGCTCAACGACTTGAAAGCGTTGTTTTACGAAAAAGCACCGCGAGTATTCTTTTACGAGCACAATTGCCCAGAAAATGCAAGACGTCCAACTAGAGACGAACAAACCTGGATACAAATTTCGAGTAACGAATAAAATCGTTGCTTAACAAATGTTGTAAGCGGTCGATGATATAGCCTTGTTTATTTCAAGGAAAGAAAAAAACAGAGTACTAATTTTCGTGTCCCACGAGGTAAAGCGAACCAAGACCCTCGTATCACAGACGACAGGATGTAACGGGTCGTCAACTTGACATTGAGAAATTCGAGCGATTACGAAAAAGAGTCCCCGTGCGTATCAGGGCAAAAAGGCATCGGACTACTTATGGTAATTTAAAACGAGTTTGAGCCGACGGAAAATATGTCGTGGCGCGTTTACTACCGGTGTGCCTAAGGCGTGGACAAAAGATGAATTTGAGACCGATGACCTTTCTCCTCGTGGAGAAAGACCGAACGAGAGTGAAGAAGAAGAAGGAGGAACGACCGTAGAGGAAGAGACAGGTCAAGAAAGATCATTCGAGAAGGCTTCGGTTAGTTGATCAAGCGTGAAGGCTATTTAACATTCCTGTGTTTAAGAAAGGACGCACTTACTTTAGGAATCGCAGATGTTCAACGGGGACTGGCAGTGACTAGTTTTCAAACTTGTTCTCGCCTGCTCTCGCTTGATCTTTCCGTTTCGCGCTCCTTGTCTGGTTCTCCGGGCCTCTCCTTTCTCTCCGGTGTGTCTTTTTTGCGTGAAAACCTACCCGAAAGAGGCTGTCGAGTCCCTGCATCGGTGTTCAGCACCGAAGGGTTCATCCCACCACGGAAATATTCTGATCGAGGGATGACAGTTTGCACAACAAGTAGGTCATAAGCGGTACGATTCGCGCAATGAATGACAGGATACGCGGGGAACGATTTAACACTTGGATTCGAAAGGGAAACGGGGTGCACGGAACGCGATCACGCGTGTTTACGTCGGCGGAACTCACCTCGGTTCGACGGTGACTGCGGTAACGGCTCGTAACGATTTGAAACGAGCGCACTGAGTCCACTCCATGCCTGGTGCACGCACGGCCACAGTCTTCTCTGCTGGCTTTTTCCCTCGATTTTAATCTGCTCGGGCACTCGTGGACATACTGGCTCTCGTTCAACGCGGATAAAGATCGTCGGCGCACACTAATACTCGATGGTCACCACGCAGAGGCGCGAAAAACGCGAAAATCCGACGGATCCGCGGTATAATGTCACGAAACACGTACCGAGTCGGCGAACGTCGAGCCGCGACAGTGGCGACTACCCGCGCCGAGTGGATGCACCACGGAATAATGATAGATACAGAAGTTTCACTCGACGACCGCGCCATTGTTACTTCACTCCCAGAGGGCACGCGACTTCTCCAAACACTCTCCAGCGGGATATTTGACTCTTGATCATTCCTACTAGAAACACTCGATTCCTATAAACCGTAACGAAATCGATTTTAAGTTACATCTGTATATTTATACCGAAGGTAAAAGAGTACTGCCTCGAAGTGAAATTTCCTAGTCACGGAACATTTCAGGAAATTGCTTCAACAAATCAACGCTTGAAATCAACGCTTAACTCGCACTTCGCGTACACAGGGGCTAATTTTATTAGTGCGCTCTAACAAACAAATAACTAAGAGGTTAAATCGGAAAATAAATATCAGTGGTCTCATATATTGAATTTTTTTTCTTGTATTACAATGTATACGAACGATACGAATTACACAGAATAATCCTAGATTAAACATTGTTATAATATATCCTTGAACTCTCTGTACGCTCGAACTCGTAATAATTTATTTTTATATGTCGGATCTAAAATGTCGTCAAGTCTATTTTCAACGGTAGGAACATAACATTCATATTTGTTTACGAAAGTCTTAAAAGAAATTGATTTTGAAATCTCAACGTTCAAGCGAGAATTTATCCACTCTACAATGTCATCCGACAAAACATTATCCACATAGTCGCTCATGTGTTCCATTAAAAATTTAGCACAAATTCTAGATGTCTCCACTGGTTCATAAAAATCGTAATTTGTACACTTATTAAACACCTGACACAAAAAATGATGTGTTATATAGCATTACATTTTTGGAATACAATTTACTTACATCCGTTTCATCCATTTCATAGTTTGTGTCATCCAATAGTGAAATACCCCAATAAAAAAGCACTATGCAAAAGAGTTCAGGATCTTTTTCATGTATAAATTCATAGAACTTTGCAAGAAGCAAATGCAAATATGAAAACTCATTGGACAGTGGACAATGTATCGGAATGTACTGAAGTAACTTAAACACCTCGTGTCGGACTTGAGAATTATTGTCCACCAGTAATTGTAATATCGTCGTCCACCACTGAATCTGTACATCTGTAACGACATATATACTTAATATGTTGCGTATGTACGTAGTATATACCAATATTAAAACATTTTCCACGTACAACGATACTCGTCACGTTTGCAACATGCCAAGAAAAGGTCTTGCATTATTTGAAGAACAGATGCTCTAAAATCTGCATTTAAAGATGCGATCCAGAAATTATCGCAAAAGTTATCGTATACGTCGTTAATACATTCGAGATTAATTTCTTCTGCAGCCTTGAAAAAGAAAATGTATGTTTAAAACTCTAAGGAACAAAAGAAAAATTTAAAACATACTTACATCGTTAAAAGAAGCTAGAGTTACATATGATTTCCCCAGTAATCTCAAATACGTATCTCTCTCACAGTAGCTGTCTTTATTATCGTTTAATTGCACTTCGTTCACCACAAATTTACAGATATCGATTGTTTTCATACATCCAGAATCAAACTGATTGCGATGTATTAAGCAGTTGTACAAGAAATTAAACATTGCATCTTGCAATTCCGGATTATATCGAGCGAGATCTTGTATCGAAATAAAAATTATTTCGACAGCATAATTTAACAATTGCGTTGATACATCGTTGCATGTTATTTCATCAATAATATCCATGAAAGTTGACCATGCAGTAATTTGTGTTTCCAAATCTCTTAAACCATGTAGGTACACTCTAATTGGAATACACGGTCGAATCAGTGACGTTTCTCTTGTTATAAATCGTAGAAATATAATAATGGACAATTTATATTCTTCTCGCGCAGGTCCTTGTTTTAATTTGTCATTTTCCACTAAATGAGATGCAAGCACGTAGAACATTGAAGCATGCTGCTTCATATACGTTTCGTCCACTTTACACACTTCATTACAAATATTTATATAAACTGCAGCCAATAAAAAACATGGAGGGTTAGAATTTACACGTTCCAAATTTTCTAAGATCCAAGATGTTCTTTTCAAAAATCTGTCCCAATCTACATTAAACGATTGACATTGTTCGAGATTAAAGCGTTTCAATACTTCATAAATCTAAAAAGTTATCAACAAGAAATTTTTTTTTAATTTTCCGACTATTTAAGGAGCTATAATGTATTCGTATCGCATTCCACACACCTGTAGCATGTAACCATGCATTAAATTTAGAGATGGATGTGTTTTCTCTGTGGATATTACATTTTCAATTAATCGTATCAGAACACTCCCCGCGGATTGTTCCGTCAGTAATGCTACAAGTGCTCTTGCTGCTAATTTACGTGTTTCATACACTTTGCTTTTAGCACATTGCATAACTAAAGTAATAAGATCATCGATCTGAAATACATGTACTGTACTATTAAACTAAACAAATACTAAATGTCTCATCATTAAGTACCTGGCACTGAATATCATTGAGCTCAGAACTCTGACTATAATATAATCGTGATAATAGTAATAGAATCGACTGCACATTCGATTTGATGATGGAATCATTCACTGTTACAAATGTTTGCAACTCATTTGTAATAAAGGACAACAAGCGAGGATACTTTTCAAAAAATAATTTGTAATTCATTTTGTTGTCGGTCGTCAGATTGATATGATCCTTCGTTCTTTGAACGCCAAAGATTCTAATAATAAGGGCACTGAAAAGTAATGTTGCTGCATTTCGTTCCTGAAAAAATGTATATTATTTATTTCATTTATTACACCGGAGTACAAAATTATTAGTATTCTCTTACCGTCCACGTTAAGGCGTCGTAACTCTTAAACGCCGCTATTAAACCATCCTCTACATAATTATTTACTATTTCTGCAAGTTGAGAATGTCTAAATATTGCTCTTAGAATATTCAAAGCATGAGTCTTGATTTCTGTGACTTGAATACTATTCTTGTTTACGCAATGATCATTATTAAATCGTAAGGATTCGAATGTATTCTCATATTCCAAAAATGCCGAATCTCTGTACATTAATTCCTTAATCTCCTTCCATAAATTTATATTTTGTAATTCTGTAAAGCCTAACAAAATTTTCATTACAGAGTCAAAAATAGTAGTTTTTGTATCTTTATGTTGTCGAGGTTCTGTAGATAGTATAGCCTGTTAAGTAAAATATTATGATTGATCTTTACAACTCAAATTTATATAAGTATAGATACCAAATTAAAATAGAGTTCGTTTTTGCTTACCTGTATCATAAACGGTACACCGGCGCTTCTTCGGGTTGCACACAATTTTGAATTCTCTTCTTTCATTCCTGAAATTGCATTCAAAATTTGGTGCAACCACATTTTTGGCAATTGATTCAAACTTTCGTTATTCAACCGCCAAAGACGAGTGCACAGTTGACTAAAACCTACATGTGCCTGTTCAAATGCACCTCTATGCTTTGTTTCAGTAAGCAAGGTAACCAAATGTTCTCCTATTTTGATAATCTATAAAAACGACAACCTAACTCATTCACTCCTAAGAAAACGTCTCTATTTTCTGTATCTTGGATATAAAGCATGAAATTTTACTTGCTCTTTGTTTAAAAGTCCTAAAGAAGAATCTTCTTCGCATATTGGTGCTTTAGTAGCAAGAAAGCCAAACAATAAACTAACTTCTTTCACAGTACGCCACGAACATAGGAGTACCATTTGTGGAGTTACCACTTGTTTTTCAGATGATGAACCACATAATGCACGAACAGTTTGTAAATTTAGGTCCATTGGTAAATGCCCTTCAGGTGAAGAATTATTAACTATCAAAGAAACTACACAACTAAATTCAAAACACACACATATTAATTCTGATATGGTATCCTTCCACAAAGTTTTATTTTCTACTTTTTTTAAATCACACTCATGTAACAAACTTCTAATACAAAACAGATAGCCATACAAAGAATGTTTAGTAACCGTCATTACTATGTTTTCTTTTGCAAGAATCAAGGATTTCTGAAAAATAGAACATGTGACAATTTTTATGTAATAAATATGTAAAATACAACAGCATCCATAAATACCTTTAATGTGTTTAACAGAATTAATATTAGTTCTAGTATTATTGCTTCTACTTTATTCTCAGACTGTTTCATTAAATCCAATGGAATATCAAGTACATTCTGTATAACAGGTGACAACATGCTGATTTTCAACATATATGCAGCTGTTATACTATCAATAGGCCTGATACTGTTACCTAATTGAATAGCAACCATAATAATATTATGCATATTATTTTCATCATCTAATTGTAACAATTTTGGATCTACTGACTTCATTAATTTAAAAGCCATTTCTTTATTGGCTTCATATGTGTCCAACAACAATAAGTCAAACAAAGCTTTTGTTTGTTGGGTCTTCCAGGTAATATGTTTGTATTCTTCATCTAATAAATTTGTCATCAAAAGCAAAATTTGTAGAGATGATCGTCTTCTGCAATATGTAGCATCAGGACTGCATATGCACATATTATGCAGAGATTGAAATGTATTGTGGTACATGTTTATATTCCTTTCAAGTTCGTAAGATATTTTATAAGATTGGTCTAGCACTTCTTGCTTTATTTCTAATGGGTTGCAATTTTTTTGATAATGATTTCTCATCTTTTCTTCTTGAATACACTGTCGTCTCATGACAACTAAGCTGTCCTTCATACGTTTTAAAGCCTACAAAAATTACAGTTTGCGATTGAGTAATCCTAATTACATTCTTCACAAATCTTACCTTTTTTATTCCAGGCACAAATTCTAATTTCTCCTTAAAATTAACACGTAAAAATAAGATAATTAGATCGAGTTCTCTAGACGTGAAACGTAAAGTACTTTTCTTCGATTCTACTATGAGCGTAAGAGTATCCAATTTAATCTAAAATAAAAATAGACGGTGATATAAAACCGTGATTTCTGAATTATTTATAAATTTATTTATAAATTTATATACTTCTTCGTCATGGTGTTGCACATAACGTTCTAAAGAATCGTAAGTTATAGAATCCCGCCAAAAATGATCATCTGTCGATTTTTCGTCCGTGTCTAATTCTCCGCTGCGTTTTAATGCTAACAACTCTTTCAGTTGCTGTTTTATTTCTCTCTGTGTAAACATTTTATTGTGTCTATTCAACTAATTCAAGCTAAGCCATAACATAACACGTGTACATCGTTTGGTTAAGCACGCATAATTATACAGGGTGAAGAAAAAACCCCGACCAATCAGAGCGGCCGCGGTAGCGAAGGCTTCGCGCTAGACAGCAGCGTCAATGTCCTTCGATGCACGTCGGAGTCACTTGTTCGCGTACAAGCGCGGCCGCCAGCGCGTAACCTTCGCTACCGCGGCGGCTCCAACGGTCTACGCGCGTTCTGATTGGTCGGGGTTTTCGCTTAATATTTCCTTAACGAAGTCTCATCCGACATTTTTGCAAAGGAAATTTTTGTTCAGAATCGTCTCAGCTACCCCCCATTTCCGGCTCCTCCCCGACTTTTGGGACACCCTGTATACAAATCGTAAGATGTTGTGTAAAATAAATCAACATCATAGGGAAAAGTAGTATCAAACAAATCAAGCAGAAGCATCATTATCAATTATATATTTTTCGTTGAGATTTTATCAACAGTTTTGTTCTCAACAACAAGCCTTATACATACTCCTAATATTTCACTTTCTTTATAATTAATTTAAAATAAAATTAAATAGTAAGTATAGGAATAAGTATAGGAATTAATAAAATAGTCAGAGCATGTGTGATTATGTTATTTTATCATTTTTGAGAATAGTTTTTTACACATGAATTATTATCGAGCCTTTAGTTATGGCGCCATTTAGCCGCAACAGGGTGAACTATTTTCATTACAAACTTGGACATTTTCCCACCGATGGCGCCACTGGTATTAAAATCAGTATTAGTATAGTTCAGTGCTGTAACCGCCTGTGGTATTATCGTCTGTGATTTTGGTAACCATTTGCAGAGCGTTAGAATAGTAAGACCAACGTAGTATGAATCATCATTGTGTGCGCGCGCATAGAACTGCACGTCTGTAACTGTAATCATATCTACGCGTTGTTCGTTCGTGTTGGCTAATCTTTGCAAAGTGTGGAACTGTTGACAAACAGTTTTAAGCAAAAACGAAGATTATCGTCTTGTATAATCCTCATTTACGAAACGTACAATTCTTTATCTTTCTGAATGCACAACACATCGAATCATTTAGCAAGAATCGCGAGTTTCCTTCATATACTGCCGGTGAGTTTTCTATAAATAGAAAAGTTTTTGGGAAAACTGAACCATGAGATTACATAGTGAGATAGTTCGTTAACATATTCGTGGTATCCACCGTATCGATGCAATTCTGAAGGTCTGTCTCTTCGAAACCGTGTCAAATTGTGTCAGTTACGTTACAAGTGTGCTGTCGACATTAATTTGACACACGGAGCAGTCTACATTCTAAGTAAAGATCGAGTTATCTATTGCTCTTCGTGTATTATGTCAGTTTTGCGGTCTGAAGTGAGAGAGGTGAAACGAAAGCATGTGATTTCGAATAATATTATATATCCGTAGATATTGTAAATATAGTCTTACAGTACGCGGCGTGTTAAACTTTGACTAGTCGCGGTATGGGCAGCTATGTGAGGTCCATTCAAAAAAAATTATCATCAATGAGAGAGAAAGGGACGGAAAGAAAACTGTGCCTGAAATAGGATCCAACAGAGAAGGACTTTGTATGGATGTCTTTCAGCTGGGTGGGATTATTTTTAGCCATGTTAGGCACACGACAGGGGATCAAAGTCTCTAAAATTGCACACATGTCCTTTAAGTATTAGTTTTCATCAACTCTCTTAGAGTAGCATAAGTATTATTCTTCTATAGGACTATGGAGAATGAACAGCATCACTATGAATTACGAAGTGGAAGCAGATCAAGGTCCCAAACACCTTTGGTTCACAGTCGTGCCTTGCTAGAACCAGAGATTCCTGAACACCATTATGTTAGCCAAAATCAAAGTCGGGAAAGATCACGTACACCCGCAGAAAGCACAAGCAGTAAACAATCTGGTTCCAGATCTTTGTAAGTACAAAACATATTTATCCCTATCAAAAGTGTATATCGCTTAAAATTTGATCCTTGATGTTGTTCTAGGCCTGGAAGTAGCAGTAAACTAATAATGGATACGATATTGGAAAGTAGTCAGGACTATGTAGACAATCAAAGCAACAAATCTGAGACTTCTAGTACCTCTACTAGAAAGGTAGAGCGTCGATCTGAAAGACAAAAGGCAAAGAGAGAAATATATGCAAATGGACAAAATGAGAATAAAGATAATTCATCTACTCGAAAAACTGAGAGGAAACATAAAAGTGGTCCTTCAGAGAGACTATTAACTAGTGATTATTCCTCGGAAGAAGGTGAACACGAAGACCTGCATAACAGATTGGATACACATGAAATTTACACTAAAGCTGGTGATTGGTGGAAGTATGTATATTACAAACTTATATTTGTTAAAATTTTCAAGTTCTTGTATTACATTTGTATCTCTCTGGCAAATGTTTCAGCGTGTTTCCAAAAACGGATTATACATATGCACAAACGTCGACATGTCGTTATGAAGTAGCACCTGGCATACTGGCGATTCCTAATATGTCACGGCGCTCTATACACTCGTCAGACACTTCTAATTGCTTATCACAATCGGAAAGCGGTATATGCCTACCAACAAGTCTTGAAGAAGACACAGAATTGAGTGCACAAAATCGTACAGTAAGTTTATTACACGGACAAAGTTCGACCATCTCTTTTATTTATCTTGTATAATTTTATGATTTTTCTGATTAGACAAAAGTAACAGACGAAAGTCTCACGTTGCTATCGGGAACACGTGTTTCAAATTTCGATGCGAAATCTCGAGCTCAGTTCACGAAAAAGCACGTTGAACAGTATCATTCTCATAGAGAAGTAGTGTATGGAATTCCTGAAAGTTCAACGAATGTGCGACGAAGGTTTATGATTTATTTATATATGGATATACAAAGTTGAATATCCGAAAATCCTTTTTAAAATAATATTTATTTTTGCTTGTATTAGGCAAATATTCGGTTCCAATGCGCTAGAAACCATTGACTCTGACACAGAGCTGGAAGATGCAGTCTCGATATCGTCCAAATATACCCAGAGTAGAAAAATAGCGCAATTTTTTACAACTACTACATCTACTATTATTTTGTGGTTTAATAAACTATTGGAATTTTTAAAACTCAAGACAGTTAGACGAAGAGAATACGATAGATATGCTACGTATAAATATCAGAGATACGGTATTGTTGGATTATTAATATCTATACCTATACAACGATATCTGTGACAAAAAGTATGCTTTTGTAAATATTAATTCTTCTTTAATTACAGCACCCACATGGTATAGCAAATTGTGGCAATACATTAGTCACACTATGGACTATATCTATATATGTATGGTTAAACTATTCTTCTTTGATTCATGGTTGTTGAGCCGCTTATCCGGTGTTAGAAAATGGGCGGAGCAAAAAGGCTGTACAGTTCTTTGGATCGCTTTGCTGCCACTGTTGCTTTTGACTGGTAAATTTTGAGAAGCCTTAAGTCATTTTAAGAAATCATAAAGAAATATGTGTTTTCATATTCATATTTTCGTATCTATTACGTTCACCCATAAAATCGAGTTTTTACCGTGGCATCATCGGGAAGATCGACGAAACCTATCCTGGCGTTTGTTTTTCTTTTTGTTTCAGGAATTTACATCGTGAAAAAGCAGTCCGTTATCCATCTGGATTCGCTGCACAATATTTCCTATGATATCACTGAGATGAGCTATCGCATCTTTAACGATACATTTAATTTAGCGTCTTTAGAGAACGATTTATTTATCGAATATATACAGAAACTAAGAGATATACCGGTATATCTTATACCCAGTGTGAACGTGTCTTTACCTGAGATGCCTAGCATTGGGTGGAATATAAGTTGGTGATCAGTCGCGATAAATTGTTTTACCGAGAAATCATTTCTAACTAACTTTCGTTTATTCGTAAATTTTTTGTTTTTTTTTTGTTTACTTCGTAAATTTTTTAACCACGCGGTACTTAGATTAGAATTGCTTTTTTTCACGCTACACTCGCGAAAGGTGCTTACTAATATTTTTGTTATTTTAAAGTTATATTGTTGATACTTATCACATAATTTACTAATTTATATATCTGCATTTACTAATTTGAAATTATAAATATTGGTGATGTGAATGCGTACTGTCGTAACATGTATTCGTGTGTATGTATATATACATGTATATATATACATATATATAATTTGCATACGATACTTTATAATTATTTATAAGAACAATGTTGAAAAGTTATCTTCACATATGCTTCATGCTGTGGTATCTGTAAAAGCACGTTCATCCATCATTGAACGCGTTTCTAAAATGTTTCCATTCAAATGGCGACTGCAATATTTTAAAAGCATATGTATTAAACAAAAATATATTGTAATTAATAAAGTTTAGCGAATCGATAAATTAAAAGACGGGAGAAGGATAGATGGAGTAGGATTGCTTGACTGACGATGTAAAATTGGAGTATTCGCGCTTGACGGAGATAATGGACATGATCGATATCTTGATGTCATCGGAATGGTGAGTCCCTTCGTCTATCCTTCTCTCGGTAGCTGTATCGCCTCGTAGAATCGACAAAGCTTAACCAACTTTATGCCTTAATTTTTCAGGTTGTTGGTATCTTTCGACGTCGTCACCTTCAATGAAATTCGCAACGAGACAAATCAGAGAAGTCTCGGATCTGTATACAGTGGATAAAGTATCGTTCAGAACAGAGGACGATTTTAAGTCGATAAAGGATCGTTTAGAGGATCGAATCACTGACCAAACTGTAAGAATTTTGGGCAGCCTTTTTATGATTTTATAAACACTTTGTTTTGTAAATACAAACGAATCAATTAAAACAGTTTCGAATGAGATTGAAACGCACATTGTTTTTTTAGACCAAGGTGTTATTGCTTGAAAAGGAGTTAGAAAAATATAAGTTAGGTGATATGCACGTCCATGAAATCGAAACCATCAAGTTGCAAGTTCAAACATTGAAGGAACTGTATTCGGAGTTAAAATCGTGCTGTAACACAAACACAAACCGAATTAATAACGAGGATTTGGGGAAACGCATCGAAACGATCGTAGCCGAATACTTTGGTTCTTTGGTATCAAAAGAAAATTGGATTACAACTGAAACGCGTAAGTCAGCTTTTCTCAGATTAAGATCAGTCATAAAATCGATCAAGAATAAAAAATAATGTTGATTAATTTGTAAAAATGAATGAGAAGGTAACGATAATGTTACATCAGACGATCGTGTACACGAAATCGTCAAGAATGCTTTGAGGATATACGATGCGGATAAAACTGGACGTGTCGATTACGCTTTAGAGACCGCTGGTAAGTTTGAGTAATAAAATTATTGAAAATACATGTTTTAATCTCGATAAGACATGTTTCTTCGTTATTACGCAGGTGGACAAATTATTAGCACGCGTTGCACGCAGAAATACGATATAAAAACAAGAGCTTTCAAAGTACTGGCCTTTACATTATATCATGAAAACAATAATCCTCGAACGGTGATACAAGGAAATCCAATACAACCAGGTGCTTGTTGGGCGTTTCAAGGATTTCCAGGATATCTCTTGATCAAATTACGCAGTCCTATTTATGTAACTGGATTTACAGTCGAGCATGCGCCCAAGTCTATATTACCCAACGGAGAAATGAGAAGTGCGCCTAGAAAGTTCAATGTCTGGGTAAGCGAGTCTTTAGATATACGTACAATTGATCGATACTTTAAACATTATTCTATTCACTTATTGATATATAACTTGTTGCTCTTGTAGGGTTTTGTTGATGAAAATGACCCTGTACCTGTGATGTTCGGCGACTATGAATTCGCAGCCTCGGACGAAAGTTTGCAATATTTTCCCGTTCAAGTGAGTCGAACTTTTAATGATACACAGTGAAAAAATTATCATTGGCTTCAAGTAATATTCTTCTCAGCTGCCAATGAGAGATGCTTCGTTTCTCTTAAAAATCATTTCACGTAACTATTGTTTTTGTTCGTAGAACACTACGATCGAGAACCCTTACGAATATGTTGAACTAAGGGTCCACAGTAACCACGGACAACTCGAATACACGTGTTTATATAGGTTTCGAGTGCATGGGAAACCGTTTCTACACTGAGAGTACATACAAGTGTACGTCTTGACACTGCAATTCATTATATATAAAAAAAAAAGAATGGATTTGCAAGTGTGCTCACATCGGTCGAGAATGAGAGCCCTTGTATATCGATATGTGCCTTCAAGTACCGTTTGATATAACAACTGACGTCATAATCGCGAGAGATTTATTTTGAAATCAAGTTACCGTTACCATTGGTAATTAGGCAGTAGGACGTTTCAGCGTCCGAAGGTAGAGCCGGGTACTTAACTCCGCTTCTATTATTTTTTTTTTCATATGCGTGTTGTGCTCTCTGTTTTTAATCGTAACGTTAAGCACAAAAATAACAACCGTTCTCAATGAAAATACAATGTTAACGAAGAGATTTTTACACTGCTACTTAAGGAGAATATGTGTCATCGTAATCAGAGATAGGCAAAATTCTTACCTACATAAAAATTCCGAATAACAAATGAAAGATGTTTGTTACTTGTTGCATAAAAGATAGTATTTGAGTTACCAGTAAACGGATAAAAATTTAATTATTTTATAGATAACTTTCAATGAATGCATATACGCGCCCAATGTATTCGGAGAATTAAATTGACATACGCTGGTTATTTATTCCATATGAATTATTAGAAGAAAATGTTGCCCATCTCTGCATCGTACTTTCGTTTTGCGACGAGACGAAAAGACAACGAATCGAACCATAACTCGAGAAAGGAAACTCGTCGGCGTTCCAAATATTATCCAAAGTTAAGTGTATCATTAATTATAAAGTTAATGCGACAGTACAAATTGTAAGACAGAAAAAACAATTTTTTAGATTAAGAATTGTATGTGGAGTGTTGCTACGATAGCTTTGACTACAATATTGTGTTTCATTTTTCTAGAAGTCTAACACCGTAGTCTCGTAACATGGTTAGCTTGCGCACATAAATAGGTACATATGCGCGCACATGTGTGTACATATACGTTACGTGTACATATATATAGAGCATGTATAAAGTACCAACAAACACTATTTTGCAGATGTACATTTTTTGCATCGAAACCTTGAATTCGCCGACTGCAATCGAATTACGTAAATGAAAAAAATAGCTACTTCTCTAGCATAATCGTACCAATTGTTTCTTCCCTTCCCCTTTTCCTCTCTCTTGCAGCAAAATGTGTGTCAGGTTAAAATGTGATTCAAACAATACTAGTAACGTAACTATTTATTGGCTTCAACAATGAATCAGTCTTAGATGTGAAAACATTGAAAAAATTTGTTGCGTATCATCGTGAATATCTGCAAAATGGTAAAAGAAATTGAAGCAAAGTTTCATGGTTTTGATGTACTGCATTACGAGGAAAAAGAATTTTTAAATAAAAATGGTTTTCATGAAAATTGTTCATTTTTTATACATATTCTATTTGGTTAGAAGATGATAGAAAAGATTCATCTTTACATATATCGACTACAAGCCAATTAAATCGTCGAGCTAAATCGATCTCGTAGAACGGCGACCAATATATACGTTAGCGAGACCAATCGATCAGAAAGAACGATATCGATTTTCTGACGCTTGGGGAAATTGTGAGAGACAGTGAATTTTGGGAACGGAAAAAAGTGCGAAAAAAGCATAAATGTGACGTGTGTAAACCAGTGACACTAAGTTATAGATAAACCTACTGTATACAAGGTAAGAAATTACTATGACAAACATGAATCCATCGGTGTAAATAGTTATGGTCATGATTGTAAAGGATCGTACGAGTATGTACGCATACCTATGGTTTAGTTTGATACGAATATTATATGCTCCTTTGTACCGTGTAGCGTTCATACCTCTGAATACGTCACTCCGTGAAACTCAATTTCGTAATCGAATATAATCACCGATGTAGGTTCGATTTTTACATAGGTATTTTTCCAGCATTTGAACATAAAAATAGTTTAGACGCGTTTCTCGCAAAGTCTAACGATGCTCGTACCCGCCTGCCGTCTAGAATTCACTTGGTCAACCGCGTACTTTTCTGGTGTGATTTTTTAATTAATCACGTACAATTTCGAAATGTTGATATCACGAATATACGATTCTGTTTCTTGCAAAAAATCAATAAATTTCACAGAATTACGATGATACTATTATATATACCGAGTAAAATAAATATCCTGCAAACCTTACGAAAAGTTCCTTTTTCATCGAAGTACATAGCCAGTATAGCCATTTATCGAATACTTGTTGTTAGTTTTTAAAAGTATGGTCAGCGCCCTCGTTGGCAAAACGCCCAAGTTTGTTGCAAAATATTATATTGCACCGTCGGTAATTTGACCTCTAGCGGTAAGGATATGAACTATTTCGCGACAAACTTGAGCGTTTCGCCACGGATGGCGCTGATCGTAGCTTTAAAAATGCCGTCACTTATCCCACGAGTACATATTCATAAATTTGTATTCAATCGTAAATTGAACAATTTACGAAAGGTTCAAGTTATTCACGTTACTGTAACAGAATATATCATAATAGTTTGAAATTGTGATTACATTGCAGTACCGTTGGAATATACTATTTTGTAGGATAGAAATTGGAAACATTAATTTTTGAATCACCTGTTTATTCACGCGAAACAAGAATAGATTGAAATATCTGTGTTAATAATCATACGCGTACACACGTGTGCGTACACATCGCTTAGGTACATGGAGCGCGTGTACGCATTTTTACATGCATATACGTGCGTTTATACATTACACTTTGTGTGCGTGTGTGTGTGTGTGTGTGCGTGCGTGTGTGTTTGTGTGTTTGTTGTGTGTTTGTGTGTGCACGCGCGCGTAGTTGGTACTGATGATATATATATATATTTATATATTTATATATATAAAGTATATAATATATATTATATATTACATAAGTTACGATGTAATATACATTATATATAAAATTGTACAAGAATCGAATCGAATAGAATACGCATCCTTAGCCGTTTCTCTTTTCGTTTCTACCCGCGCTTCTAAACGATCAAATAAACCTGATAAACAATGCCGTTTCGACACAGAAAACTGACGAACGAGAAAAAGGCGAAACGGAAAAACAACAATTAGAACCGCGTGGTCAATTTTCACTCTTCTTCAGCGTTTTCCTTTTACGATAGCGTTGCAGATCGTACGTGATCGTTGCAAGAAAAATTAGAGCGCAAGAGAAACGAAACGAATATATACGCGTTTCGGCAAAGAATTTCGGAACGATGACGAAGTCGGAATGGCTTCAATACTGATCTTGGAATGGTTCGTAATTCCCTCAACTGGGAATGCGTCGAAGCGTTAAATAATATCTCGTTATACGTCGAAGGAATCCACGTTGGCGTTCGCACGCCGACTTGGATCCTTTCGCCAGTAGTAAAAATCGGAGATCATCTATTGGAGCGTAAATATATGTGTATTATATTGTATATATATATATATATACGCGGAAACGAGGAATTCCGGTCGCACGTTGTCGTTTTGTTACTAGATATAAGCATTTGGAAGAACGTTGATGTGTGTGTGTGTGTTTTTGTGTGGATAAGTTTTATGACCGCTTTACGATCGCCTTCCTCAAAATTTAAGAACGTGAACAAATAAATAAATACTATGCGTCTACTACGTACGGATAACTCCATTCGCCATTTGACCCGTTTACGAGCGAAGGTTACGTGCACGTCGACAGTGGCGTAACTAATACTGCGAATTCGAGAGGCCCCGGACTTTGTAACAAACAAAATACAAACGGGTCGTCGAATCAATGCTACCCTTGCTTCTTGTTAATTTAAACGAATAATATCGGTTGATATCCAATTACTTTTTTGGTTGCACAAGTTCTGCAATAAATAACCAAGTACGGTGACTATCTCGTAAAAAGTATCATACGAAATTGCTAGTTACGTCACTGCTCGTCGGTTGTTCCATTAGCGACGCTGCATGATTTTTATATTCTCGTCTCGCTCTGTTTCGAATCGTCGAAAACGAACTGGAAGTTGTCGCCGTGATATCGTAGCAGTCATAACAATAATAAGTATACTATAAACTAACAATATAATATAATAATAATAATAATATTAATATTAATAATAATAATAATAATAATAATAATAATAATAATAATAATGATAATGATAATAGCGATAATAGTAGTAGAGATATTAGTATATAGTAACAGGTGTAGAAGCAGTTGTTATAGTAGGTAGTCGTAGCCGTCGTAGTCGTTCATCGTAATAGCGGGAATAGTATTAGTAGAAGTAGTGACGGGGACAGTAGTGGCAATAGCAATAGTAGAATCAGCGGTAACAGTGGTCGTTGCAGTCACGGTAGTGGTCACGATGGAGAAAGTAGCGAGTAGCGATAGAATGGTACTGGTAATGAAACAATAGAGATAATGTGATCGGTGTTACTAAATATTAACGGTGTCCGTGAGTCGTTCAGGATTGTTTCAATGCCCCTTTTTCTTGCCAATTGTATGATAAAACTGGATGAAACTCTACCGTACAACTAAATTTCTCAAACAAAGTTTTACGAGCGTCTCGAAAACATACACGTCTCTCGAAGCTTGAATTTTCCAATGAAAAAATTTCACGCCAAAACCGATAATGGACTTTTTTTCTCTCTCTCTCTCTCTCTCTCTCTCTCTCTCTCTCTCTCTCTCTCTAAGCTATGTACTTTACTTATCGAAAAAACATATCCTGCATAAGTAACGTGTACGATCGTTGATTTTTGCTAAGGAAGTATATCGATATAAAAGAAAATAAAAAATAATAATCGTCGCAATAACGAACGACGATGCTCAACATAAATAATTAATTAATAATTACTTGGATAAAAACATGGCGCAATACGCGAGCGCAAATATTCTGTCGACTAGATTCGTATGGGTTCATCGCACGTACGATTCGCACATACCGCTCCGTTTTCATTATTTTGTTGTACAACCTTTTTGCGGGAACGAAAACGACGAAGACGATGATCGACGACATGATTGATCGCGAGATGTGTAAAATTGTTGTTTAGATAAATACCGGTTTAGCTGTTTCTTTTTCAAGTAAGAACAGACTCAGGAGCAGACGAACAAGTTTAATTTCAATTTTACGAATTTTTTCCTATCCAACTTGTTTATCTACTATGTGAACTTGGACCAGGAAAAGGATATTCGCGGTCGTTGATTTAGTTGATCGCCGACATAGTCTTCGTCGTTGCGTTCAGTCGTATCGAAAAAGAAAAGAGGAGGTATGATTGTGTTGCAGCGTGCTCCGAATCCCCAGTTCAGGAGTGTTCTCGGTGTTACGGACGTCGCGAAGGATGTATCGTGAACGAATGTCTGGGATCTGCGATATTCTGCGTACAATCGTCGCGATTGTGATCTGGAAGTCGCTGGCTTCTCGTTTCCCACTGTTCTTCGTCGACCTCGTTAAAATCGTTCATCGCTGGATGTCGTAAACGGACCCTTCGCGATGAAAGCGCGTCTGTACTCTTTTCCTCTTATTTCTTGCGGCCTAGGTACTCGACCATCTCCTGGAACTTTTCCTTCTCGTCCTCGAGCAGCAACGCTTGAATACAGCTTGTGAAGTATTGCGTACCAAAGCAGTTTTGCCTACGGGAAAATATGGCCAACAACTCGATTAGACCAACAATTGCTTAGATTATTTTGCATACATCGATGCCAGGTGATCAGGGGCGCAGGTCATGTTATTTGTTTAGGATCCGTTTGTCTAGACTTTTTTTAAGAGCGCAAATGTGCCTCGGTTAATCTATGCTAGGCCAAAATTTTGAAAGTTAAACAGCGCATAGTCGTTGCGTTAGTGCGCGAAAAACAAACGAATCCGTATGTAATATGCATTAGCTTGCGAATAAGAGAAGAGACGCGGACGTTTGACGCGACTATGTTTGACAAAAATGTGCGAGACGCAGGTGTTATGACAAAAGTGCAGGCTGGCCAAAAAACAAGAAAAAGTGCCGCCGTTGTCTCCAACAAGTACCTGCAAAAATATTTTATCGTTGTGGAAATACATTTTGTCGGAGTATTGTCGAGGACATCCTGTTTCCTTTGGTTCTCTGAAAAATCTTCGTTAGCGTCAAGTCCAAAATTCACGTCTTCGACGCAACGAAAATCGTAGACACAAAAATTACGTTTCACGAAAGTGTCGACAAAAATATGATGGCAAACCGTTGCTCGTTACATTAGTGAACAATGTCGAAAAAAGGATTCGTGAGGATAAAGGGGATTCGAGGTGAACTTGTTCCGCTCCCTGTACCCTCCCTGTTGGACCGTCAATTATCATTGTCCACTTGAAAGAGTAGGATAAAAAGGATAAGAGAGTGTAAACTGAATTTTGTCTCGTGTTACCTGTCGTGGATTCAATGTGAAATTACCTAAATACGTGTACAGCATGTGCGAATTTCGTGTATCATCGTGTGTAGCAGGTGCATCGTTGAGTGGTGATTTGTGAATTCTTGGCACGACGTCGAGGCGAACCGTTTGTGCGATATCGGGAAGCAACTAGGTCAATTCGGAAAGCACAAAAGTATCGATGACGAGAATTCATCAACGAGCAACGAAAACAAACTTGTACGACGATGGCAAAGTAGGAAGAGAAAAACGGGAAACGAAGAGAAATTGAAAAATAATAAGCTTTCGTGGATTTAAGAGAGAGAAGTTGGACGAGAAGGCAGTGGAAAGCGGAGAGTGGCCAGGACAGACGCGAACAGAATGGGAAAGCTAATGCAAAAATAAAAACGCGCATAAAGGAAATCATAAACATAAAAGAAGAAGCTACCTAAACCCCAGGATCCGCTCCGTGAAGTTGCTTGATCCATGTTTGGATCTTCTCTACTTCGTCCTGCAGCAGTAGCACGTCTAAGCATCCTTTGAAGTAGTCTGACGTGAAGCAGTTTTTCCTGAAAACATTTCAAAATACAAACGCTACAGATGGGGCAGACCCTTGATTTCACGGACGTATGTTTATCTTGCGATCCGTCCTAGAGATCCATGTTGCTGAAAATAAACGAGACAAACGTTTCCGCTGGGAATCATTGTTCCAAACTCTGTCAAAGATCACAGGGATGGCTGTTAAGCCGCGATTAAACCGAGAGATCGAGGCAACCGAAGGCACATGTCCGAACGTACGTCAAGATTCGAGCACGCGTGCCTTCGGTCGCTTTCGTTCCTCGATCTGTAGACTGTCTTCCAGTTGCGAGATTATCATACTTGTACGCACGAGTAGTATAATGGAATAGGAGAATTGGCGCGAGTGGTACGAAAACAGGAAGCAGAGCAAGGGGCGCGGCTCTGTTCGGTATAACAGTGGCTATGGTTGAGCGTGTCGCGTGGATAACACCAACCAACCAAAACGCACCTACGTAACGAATTTCCTTTCTTTCGCTGCCATGACGCAACGAAACCGTTCGATTTCGCCGAATAAAACCGACGAAGCGAAAAATTCCCGTCGAACTAGCACGAGCGGAACTTCGCAACGGAAGACACGCGCCCATCGACCGAGCGGGCGCCATATGCTTCGGTCGTTCGAGTCTATCGAGGATTCGATAGATCCCTCGTAAAATAAATCTCAGCGCACACTGTTGCTCTTCGTGAGTAATCAGTTGTCTAATTTGGAAGTCTCGTAGCGAAACGCGGATATCTAGAACCGTGGATGATTACCTGCACAGTTGATGCAGCTGAGGTTCTCGGAACAGGTTGTAACAATCCTCGCAGATACGATCCAGCCGGGCGAAGATGCTCTTGTCGTATATACCCTTACATTGGATATCGATGAAGGACCTTTTACCCAAAGGATGCCCGTTCAGGATTCCAGCGTCCGTTAGACCGATACACGAAGACACGAGTAACAGCGTCACCGACCAAGCCAACACGGAGACGAGTCTCGGGCAGGGTATCGACACGGATGATGCGATGGATGATTCGCCCGACAACGACGATAGCCTCGAGCATGAGGTCTGCTGCACGCTCCAGGTGTACGGCGATAGGTTCGACGTCGACCACGTCGCCGACGACGACAGGCCGTTGGACGACGACGGTGACGTCGCCTTCGTCGTCAGCGTCGGGATTGGCGTGGTCGTGGACGTCGACGCCGACGACAGCGACACGGTCGAGATGGAAGACCGAGACGCTGAGAATGGCAACGATAACGACGAAGGAGACGACGATGGCGATCGAAGCCTCTGTTGTCGATGCATAGTCTGAAACAAACAAGAACAAGCGCCTTACGAACGGAAGCTAACGCGATTGAGAACAGATTTAAAGGAGATCATTGATCGAGTTCGGTCCGAGTCTAATTTTTCAATAACGAAACGAATATAACTCTCCTACCATCGGCCTCTTTAAGCATGTAGAACCCTCTACAAGGGTCTACCGACCAAGTCTGGCCGGCTGAGTCCATCTAGTAGACCGAAAACAAAAAAACGCTCTAATATCGGTCCTGATACCAAGAATACCTATTTCTCTCTGGCCAAAAATAGTTTAGTTTGAATACACCGAAAGCCTCCAAGGAGAGCGTAAGGGGCCTCCAAAGGATAAGTGGCCTGGGTTCCTTTCGATCTCCGAGAGGCCTCAGGGTATACGTATTCGTAAGTTTTGGTATCCCTACGATCCACCACTCAAAAAACTCCCTTCCTTCGCGCTCTATCTCACTTTGTTGTGGCCGTAATAACAGCCTTTCCGCGACTGTGTCTTGACAGGGGCAGACATCCTCTACGATAACAACGACAACAACGACAACAACGACGACAACGACGACAACGACGACGACGATGACGATGACGACGATGACGGCCCTCTCGGAGAACACGGGCTCATCGAGCCTCCACGGTCTCGAGGCGGTTCGAGAGGTAAAAGCAAAGATGTAAAGCGCTCCTAACCAGTCCCGCGGCAGTCGCTGTGAATGGACCACACGCAGGTAGGCCCCACCTGTAAACGTCCTGAACCGACAACTTCATTAAGCGGAGCCGAAGCGCAGAGCGGCACGGCACGGCACGGTACTGCATAGCAATGCGCGGGACGAAAGGGACCTTCTTATGCGAGGCGATGCGGGGCAACGCGAGATTCTCGAACACACGACGGCTTCTCGGTTCCGTTCTTCTTTTCTCTTTTTCTTTTTTTTTTTCATCCCCCCACTCTGTTTCTTTTTATCTCTCTCTCTCTCTCCTGGTCTCATCGGCGGCACCTGCACACGCTGAGGAGAGCGTTTCGCCCAGTTCGCTTTTTTCGGAACATAATCACCGCTCCCGGGTGGGATCTTATTTTTAGCCACGACCGATTCTCGGAACTCTCAAACCGCTTCACTCTATATCGGACCCCCACCTGGTAATTGCCCGAGGCTCGATAATTTGCCTCTAAAGTCGCTCAGTGTCGATCGTTAAAGACCGTCCGACGGATTTTCAAGCCTCGAGACCACGAGATCACCGCTCGATCGTTGATCATCGGCTGTCCCGGGGCACGCTACGCGACGATAATCGTCCACGGAGCCCTTTAACACTTTGCCCTCCCTTCACTTGGTTCGGCAGCCTTTCTATTCATAGATCTCGCGAGTCTCGCGATTCCAGTACCTATCCAGGACTGATATCGGAGATTACGATCTTCGATCGCTGTATTCGATTTCAGGAAACGGTAGAGGCTTTTTTTTTTTGGTGTCAAAGTCAGCCAAGTTTGCACTTTGTTTCAGTTTTCTACGTTAAAAAATGTAGGTTGCAAGTTGTTGCCGCTTTTTGTTTCGATAGTGGACACTTGGGGAAAGCGTTAAGAAAGTAGGCGACAACTCCATGTTCCATGGAACGAACTCTTCGATTCCAAGAATAGATGGTCAAACGGTGGAATAAAAGTAATCGGGTAAATGAATTCTTTATCTTCTTTCCTTAGTCTTTATGTAAGACCGCAACTTTCTTTCCTCGCGTTCTATTTAACCTTGTCAGATTTTATGGCGTAACGCGTGTATACGCGATACTTAAAAGTATACCTTCCCGATGCTTTCCCGATCAAAAGTCCGAGTGAAAAACAGGAAATGAAAATCGAAGGGTGCAAGGACTGAATGAGTGCAGGTTGAGAGGGATGAAAAACGAAACGCAGCGGGCAGAGGACGAAGGGGTGAAGAGCAGAAAGTGGAGAGTGGACAGTAGAGTGGAGTGGAGAGCAGAGAGCAAAGTGAGTGTACGTAAACGAAGAAAAAGTCAATGGAGACCGGTTGCTCGACAGGTGAGGTCTTTCCTCAGCCAAGCTACGCACAGGTGTGCAATCTGCAAATCCCCTTTAAGCAAAAAACCATACACTCTTCGGCACCGTTTCACGGTTTTGTCGCGCGATGCCATCCAGCTCGCGAGTTCTGCGCATACAGTGACTCGCGCAAGTATTCGTGCAGCCTTAAACTCAAATAGCTAATACAGCGCTTATATTTTTTCATCGCTAAAAATCCTCTGAAATCTTGTTCTAAATGTACTAGTGATCATACCAGAGATGATACTAGAGATCATTGGTGGAGAAAGTACGAATACTTCTGCGAGCCACTGTACGTACGTACACGTCGATGCCTGCGCGTGGCCAGATGCGAGTTTTTCATGCGTACGCGATTTACGTTTCTACGAAAACCATATGGCTGAAACGGATCTCTTCGTCGATTTTCATCCGTCGTTTCTCGACTCGACGCGACGTTTGAGAATTCGAAAAAAAGCTCGTTTCATGGAAAGCGAAAGAGGAAGTTTATTCGAATAACAGATGAGGAATAAGAACGTACGACGAACGTTGAACGTATCGCGAAACTATAAACAACTATTTTCCACGACACCTTGATAACCGAACGATGAAATAAATTACGGTAAAGTTACCGAAAGGATCCAGCGAGATGCGTCGACCGTAAGATGGGCACAGAAAGAGGTTGAGGGAGGACGAAGAGAGCAAGAGCAGAAGAGGAGGAAGAGAACGACGTCCAGACGAGTCGAGTCGAATCGAATCGAGTTCGGTCGACGGGGATAAGAGGAAGGAGCCACGAGGGCGAAACGGTCTATATCGTTAGATACATCGTTGACTCTCCTCACCAGGTGGTCCTTTTCCTGTGCCGGATGACTCAATCGTGAGAAGGAGTTGCTCGACGAGCTCACGAGGGGCCCTCTCCTCGCTAGGAGGACCCCGTGCACTTCGCGGCACGGTCTCGTACGTGTGTGTGTGTGTTTGCTGCATTTGTCCGTCTTTCCCACTACATTCGCGCACCGTACACACGCGACTCCGTTTCTTGCACGGCCTCCTCTTCTTGCGAGAGAGGAGGCCGCCGTGATATTCTTGCCGACGGCGATGGTGTGCACACGCATACGAAACCGATCTCGTCAAACGCCCAGCTTATTCCGAATAGGATTCTCCTTTTTACCTGTGCGATTCTGCGTTCGCGCGTGACAAGGAGGATGGTATTCGTTAGCCCTTCTCAAACTTTTTCTACGAACAAACTTGGTCGAACGACCCGAAAAATGTACAGTTTTTCAGTTTTTCGTAGCTGTCATCGGTGCTATCGTTCATAGATACGACTATTATGTAATTGTATACGCGTTTACCGATTCGAATAGCACAGTTTTGGAAACGCTAGTAAATGGACGGAAATAGAAGGAGGTGGGAACGGGTGTTTAGAATGGAGCCGTTGAGGGAAGTAAAAAAGGAATGACGATTAAGAGACGTACAGAGAGTTCAGGGTGAAGAGGAGAATGGAGGACGAGACATGGAACCCTCTAATTAGGCACTTGGCCGCCACCGATATTCTCCGCTAAGTATGCAACATGTGCCTCGCGGTACGCGGGTTATAGCATGCGGAGGGATAAAATGAAAAGGGACGAGAGAATGCCAGGGATAGGAGGGGCACGGGGAGACAAAATGAAGACGAAGAAATAGGCGCTGAGTCGAGAGGCTCGAAAAAGGATAAGAGTCGTAAATCAAGCGACAACGAGGCGGCGCGGCGCGACGGGGCCAAACGAGAGTCACCGATCCTTAAAATTGATCTACGGACTTTACGTTAAATAATCCTAATATATATCGAATTGGTTGCGCTGTTCGAACGGCTCGTTCGAAATCGACGAGTTTCGAGGAAAGAAATCGGAACGAGTTAGCAAACTCTTTTTCACGATCTTGTTCCCTCGATCGTCTCGCCCAAAACTCGGTGTTATTTCAACCAAACTGCTCGAGAATCAAACATCTCGGAAAACAACGGGAAGACGAACACGGCGGAGGTGATATTTCGAATAGAAGCGAATATCGGCGAACGAGGGAGCACTCGATCAGCCCACGGAGAAGGGAAGGGAAGAGAGAAGAGAAAGGAATTCGTTTGTGTTGCGGTAGAAATACCTAAACAGAGGTCGAGGCTGGAAAGCAAACAGCAAGAAGACGAAAGGATATCGAAGAATCTATAGTCGGACAAGGTTCGAGAACTTTCTGGGTAGGCTCTGGGTACGTAGCTAGAGGTACTTTGAAAGTGCCGCGAAAGTGCTGGTTATCTGGTCACGATCGAAGATCAAAGTGGTGGGATAGGAAAAGGAGAGAGAAGAGAGAAGAGAGAAAAAGGGGGAGGGAGCGAGGGGAGGTACGGCGGGAGAAGCCGAAGAACTTGGAGGAGAAGGAGAGATAGGCGGGTTGAACGGACGACGGAGGATCGAGGCGTCCGGCGTCCTCGATCGCGGGATCTTGGAGCAAAACTAACGATCTCCCGCTCGCTTGTAAGATCAACACGACGATAATTTAATACACGAGATCACCACCCAGGTGTGCTCTGACGTGTACAGATGCTGTTTGTAACCTCGACGAGAAGGGAAAGGCTGAGTCGACAGAAGCCGGGTGCCTGTATGCGATTCCAATTGCGAATCCGAGCTCTTCTTCTTCCCCGTCCACCACCACCCCCACCTCCAACACCGACTCCTTTTCAATTCTTCTTTCGTTCCTCTTTCATTTATTTCAGCGCGAGAAAGTTCCCAATATTGCGGAAAGAACGTCGCGGAGTACCACAGCAACTGTTCGCGATACATTATAATCGAACCTAAGCGAAATCGGAAAGAACCGACCAAACGTAATTGGGTCCTTCGAAGAGGACGATCGAAATCCTCGCCGTTAAACTTATCGGCCGCTATGTTCGTTAAAAAGAAACGCGATCCCGACTACGATCGTGTATCGCAACGCCTTTAACGAGTAATTATTCTCGTTCAAGTTTCCTCGCGAACAAGTCAATCTTTCTAGATCAGTGGTCGCCGAGCCGTCGCTCGCTCGCAATCAATTGCCCGCGACAATGATTTTATAGTCGCTCGTCTTAATTTCGAGTGACAAGAAGAAAAATTGAACTTATTGCCCAATTCAGTTGATTTTCTTTCGTGGACTTTGATATAGAGAATCTAACCAATCGTCTCGAAGGAGGCTTTCAAGAAGATGGCTCATCTCCAGAAACGGAGTCGGTAACTTTTACGAGCATGGACGAGGAAAAGTATGATTTAGTTGACAACTCTGAACAACGAATACAAGACATTTTGCTCACCAAAAATGTTGCGTTCTATACGGTAGCTCCTAAACTAACTTCCTCCGAGGATTAACGATGACTGTTCTGGACGGTTCGATCGCGAGGTACCGGCAACCTGCAGCCGTGTTCGGATGAAAGTCATCGTCGGCCGAGCACGCCGTAGCAAAAAGAGGGTACGTTTCTGGCGTCATTCGTTTTCGTGGAAACAACTGGGATACGACGAATCGATCGACAGGATGGAAAAACTGAAATGCTTACGCCGTGATTCGTCGGTTCTCGAAGAGAGGTAACATAAATAGAAGAGCCAGTGACGTCAATCGTTCGCGTTAATTACATAAGAACAGTCCTATTAACCTACGCCGACGGCGAACGACGATTAAACGTTAAGCAATTCCGATAAACTGTCCCGGGCACCGATCGTTTGTCGATCGAAACGTTCCACGCGATCGATCCTGGGGGATTTCCATGTTTCGGAGCAACCGGAGTTCCGAGAATTCGGCTAACGAATCACCGGCGAACCGAGTTATTCGTTGGTTAATTTGATCGAGAACACGAGGGCGATTACCATCGCGGCGACACGCTTTTATTCGCTGCCGCGTGTGTTACAGAGTGGAGAAAACAACTGATACAATTGGACGAGAGTAAGCTTTACGGCGGCTGACCTTGAACCATTTATAAGAATAGAATTTGACAAAGAAAGAGACAAATCGAATGACGTCGGTCGTTAAGCTCGTGATCGATAAAATTGAAACTTTCGTTACGAAACAGAGTTCATTATATCGTCCTGTTGGCTGCGCGGCCACTGTCTGCTTTCTTTTAGCGTTTGGACTGCTCGCGATATTTTTGTATTCGGCTAACGATGCGCGACTAACGCTTCCATGAAAGATTCGAACATTGAATCGTTCCGATGGACTCGCGATCTGTCCTGATTTCTTCGATTAAGCTAACCGTCGAACGGTCGTCACGGCGTGGAAAATTGCGAGACTCTGTCCGTTCCGGAGTCGAACAGGAAAATTTCACAGAACGGAGTCAAGGCCCGAGATCGTCTAAAGACAATCGATGGAAACTTATTTCCATGGAATTCGCCGAACAGATGAGGTTTCTCGTGACGAGCTCTTGTCCAAGGCGAGCCAAGCACAGCTGCGTCCGTATGCAACTTCGTATGTAACGCACGTAGTCGACGCGCGGGTATTTGCAAAGGAATGTTCAACAGGTGTGTCGTTCGGATTGAGCTTTATACGCGCGAACACGCCTTTTCTTTCGCCCTCTTTCTCCCTCGTGCCCTCTGTTTTCCTATCGTCCAATCTTTTGTGCCGATTACGGCGCGAGTACGTCGAGGTTGTCGATCGCATAATCAGCGTAACGGCGAGCGTCGCTGAGCGAACCAACGAAAAGGCTAAATAAAAACCTTCCAAAGAGTATCGTTCGATTCTACGCTACTAGAGGTGTCTTTTTTTCCATTGGCTAAAATTTGAGTTCGAGGGGGAAAAACCACCCTCGAAGGTATGGATGAAACGTGTACTTGGTCCGATTTCTTAAAAATAAACCAAATTGAGAAGAATATTTACGAAAGTCTCCGATATGAAAGTGTCTGAATAATTTCAGCCCCACACGGGAGTGATGGGGGCCTTTCCAGTGCGCGATGCGACTCCATAAGAATACGTGCAGCCGTCGAAAGAAGAAGAGGGAGAGGAAGAGAGAGAGAGAGAGAGAGAGAGAGAGAGAGAGAGAGAGAGAGAGAAAGACTACTGTTTCTGCAGACCTTGCTGGCGTTAGTCTTTCTCGGTATGCTCGGAATGGTTCTCCAGCTCGGAGGTTAAGAGGAAGCCGCGAGGGGAGAATCACACGATTTATTTACGCGATCCGGCTGGTCAGGCCGCCCGGTTAGACTCGAGAAGTGCAAGACCGTACATGCGCTATCTCGCATATGTAGGACAAAGCCTGCTCTGTGGTGGTCTCTTCTATCGCGGTTCTGGTCATCGTTTCAACGTTACTCTCCAAGTTCCTATTTCAGCCTCGCGGTCTGTCGATGCCGTTTCATAATCGCCATTTATCGCCGTTACGGTCGCAACGAAAATAGCCTTCGCGAACCGTCGATAGGCAAGTCCTTTGGCTACATGGAAATCTCAAACGAAGAATAGAAGATAAGAGTAGAGCGTGAACCCGCGGCGTGAACCGATGGCAGAATCCGAGGAACATATCAGCGAAGACAACGGTACCCCGAAGTAATGGCGGCAGGAATACGAGCAGTTAAACGGCAGAGACAGAAATGGGAGCAGGAGCAAAAGCAGAAACAAACGCAGTAACAGAAACAAGAACAAGAGAAGCAGCAGCCAGCGCTGGCAGCAACGTCGCGATTGGACATTAGCTTCGAACAGTGTAGTGGGGCAGAGCAAGCATTCCGGCAGGGCAGACAGCTTGGCGTCCTATGGTTCGCATTACGACGAGCTGTGTGTAGCCTTTCTCCGTCTTTCGCTTCTCTCGTTTCGCTTCACCGCATTGTGAGCTTGCTGCGCGTTTCGCTGTACGTGTACACTCTTGCTCGCAAAAGTCTACGTACTGCCAGTGGCGTATTACTCCGTAGACCAGTGGTCGGTAACCTTTTTTGACCCTGGTTCCACTTGGACCAACAACATTTTTTTTTACCAAACAGTTACATGAATTTGTTCATTCGTTTCGGTATCGTTTCGGTATCGCCGTTATAGTTTGGCCCAGTTCCGTGATTCTTTCGATACTTAAAGCAACCGACCTTCCAATCGATTCTACCTCTCGAATAGAGAAGAATTCGATTAGTCACAAACCTGCTCGAATCGAGACGCGAATAAGACTACTTCGCCGGTCGAACTGCCTTTCGTAGACGCAAATACTCTTGGGAAACGTGCTTTCGAGTCTATTTTCGAACGGTGAAGGGGGTGCGATTAAAATCAAACACCCGAGGACCGAGCGCTGTTTGAAAAGGCGGGCACTACGATCTAATGCGATTAATCGCTGCTACGGCTTGGCTCGTAACACGAACCGAACGTAAAACGTCCGCAGTGGTAAATGCATTCCGTTCTCTTTAAATAGTTTCGAGGGAACGTACGAACTCTCGACGACGTGCGGTCGTTGGTCTAAGAAAAGATCGGCACGGTGTTTACGGATTCGCGAGTCACGTTTCCAGAAACACCGCGTTTTACACCGCGGAAATGACGCAACTTTCGCCCAGATTTTCCCACCAATCGAGATCGTCGTGGATAAATTCGAGTCAACGTGGCGAGGAAGTAAGTAAAACTCGCGGTCGTCAGAGTAATCTAGTAAACAAGGATTCGCTCCTCCGAGTTTAGTATTATAATTCGCTATAATCAAGAGGTGCACCAGTTATCTAAAGATCACAAGCCATGCTCGAAGCTTGCGAGAAAACGCGCGCACGCATTTGCTGAGCGAGTTTCTTGAGAGGCGTGTCGCCATGAGCTACAGGTGGTTGTTGCACGTTCCTCCTACTCTTTCTACGACTTCTTCCGCTGCCGTTTCTTATCTTTGCTAATTTCTTTCTCTTTGTTCCTCTCGTTCTGTTTATCCCTGCTCGCGTTTCCATGATAAGCGCACAGGTATACCTCTGATTCGTCTATTCGCGCCACTATTCAAACGGCTGTAACGTTCCCTTATGGAATATATTATACAGTAACGTAAATGTCGAGCAGTGCAGTTGGTGTTTGTAGGCTCGGGTCCGAAGAGACCCAGCCTCAGCCGTTAAAGGGTTAACGCTCGATGGTAGGCCGCGACGACTAGGCGATTTACGACTGGTCAAAGCAAACGGTTACCGTACTCACGCGATAGCAGGCGTGTTATTCTGAACCTTTGATTTCCGCGAACTGTAAACACAGAAGAGTTCTCGCGGCTGGTAAAGCTGTTCCTTGCATTCGTTATCACGAGAGGTATAAATTTTCTCACGAATTCGAGTACACGCATATCAGAGGGCTGGAGATACCGAGCCTGGATGAAATTCAACATTCTACCGGCAGAAATTTGTAGAAAATGTTATTTCGCTATCGGTTAAGATTTTCTATCGTCTTTGTAGCACTGTGCGGTACTCTCTGTGCTCGATCGGGAACCTCCAATTTCCAACCAAGAAAAAATACAGATCCGTTCTTAAAATAGATTTTTCCTTCGAGAGGCTGACTTCTGAGCCCCTTCTGTTCCGCATTCGATTCGATTCGATTCGATTCGACTCGATTCGAATCGTGTCGGAGCAAAAACGATACATCTGCTCAACGAGAGGAACACTGCTGAATTTCTCTCTCTCCTTCACCTCTTCGTGTGTTGGTCTTTCAAGCATGAGTCAACTCGTGTTTGGCCCTCGCTCGTCGGCCCTGAGTAAAAGATTCTCTGAATGAACTCTAAAGATAGAGATCCCCTGCTTCCACTGCTTCTCTCGAGCTTGTGCCCTCTCTTTCTCGTTAACCTTCTCGACAGCATGGTCGAATTCAACTCGTCCACGTCCGATTCCGTTTAAACTTTTCGTACCAGACGCCTTTGGGTATTTGTGCCTCTCAGAAGCCAGACCGATCAACTCTGCGATTACAAAAAGTAAGCGAAATCGGCGTTACGACCGTTTCATCTTAAAATATTGATGAAATAAATAAACGTAGAAAAAGAGCAGTCGATTCCTTAGCCTTCCCAGAAGCCCATTCGTTCAGAACTCGCATCTGCCGTGAGAACCGAACTGTCTGACGAAATATCTCGCCAGAAATTCGATATCCAGTTTGGGAACAGACTTCGGTTGAACGTTAAATTCGTGACGCTCGACGCTTATCCAGATAAAAAAACGATAAACCACTTTTTGTCCATTACTCGTCCAATAAGGATCGACGTCTGAAATGACCGAGCGATGGGAACGGTCTCGCGTTTTGCTCCAATTAACGATGGAAAATTTGTAACAGGATAGTTACAGACTGTTAATTCCTTACATTTCTGGAGAACGTACCTTCGTACGGCTACTCGTTTCTCTATCCATCAATCTATTCGCTTGGTTATTCATGTATTCGTCTATCTATCCATCAATTTACTCATCCGTATAATCGTATATCTGTCTACTTATCCATTAATCTATTCATGAATATGTTTATATATTCATATGTCTCTGTATCTATGATATATACTCGTCATCAAATTTCAACGAATAGAAACGTGTTCAAGAAACCATTCGACCGAATGAATGTCGCAAATAAATCACCGCACGTATTATTTGGAATAAAATTGTTTCCATCGCTGAAACGAAAGCAGAAAAACGTACCGCGCAGACGCTGTCACGACGTTTTCGAAAAAGTCTACCGCCTGTTGATTCTTCTTCTTCTTCTTCGCGATCAAGCGTCGCGCACCGACTAAAAGTGTCGATCGCAGAAATAATTGAACGATAACGATACACCGAAATTAATTTTCACGTCGACAGATTAGAAAGCCATTTGAATAATTTAAACTCCCAAAGATTCGCAACAGTCGCGACCTCCCGTGTTATCGCGAGCTACGTAAAAGCGGGACAGATTATCCAGGCAAACCGTAGTCAAAGTCACTTACCATTTTCACGGATACAACGAACTCGCGTTAAACGAGGTGGAGGTGTTGAAGAGAAACGACAACTCGAACTGTCCCACTTGCGGTGTACAAGTAACGTATTAAGACTTACATTTAACGCTCTTCGCCCCGTCTTTTCGCCTTTCTCCTTTTAGCCGCCTCTTTCGATTTCTTTTCGCCGCCTTAGCTTTCTTTATCTTCCGTTTTCCGTCGAGGCTACTCGGTCCTCTTCCTCCTTTGCTTCTTTATTCCGTCGAGGGATACCTTTTCGATTCGTTCGCGTATATGTGCACAATGAATTTCTTTGCCTAGAAAAGTATGTTTCGGCTTTGTCTTTCTTCTCGTTCTCCCTGCCCTCCCTCCCAACTGGCTCGATGCTCACTCTCACTCACTCCCTCTCAGCGGATTTCGGAGCCGGATGGTAGGATCTTTTCTTCGAACCACTTAAATCGATATGAAATCGACGAAAAACCAACGTCACTTCGCGTTTAATCTGGACGAACGTCGGTGCGATTGTCACGAGTGGTGCGATTGCGTTGTCACCGGTTCTTTGGAAAATTTCATTTTCACCTTGACTACGGTTTTCACTCGAACACTTCCTTTTTCGTGCGGAGTTCCTCAAACGTCGCGGAAGGAAACACGCGAGACAAGTACCACCGCGGAACTGTGGTATCGCGATCTCGAGAAAGGCGCGCGCGCGGCAGAATGCCTGCCCGCCTCCTCGACCACCCACCCCCTTACGGCTCCGACACCGTCGCGACCGTCGGCGTCGGGGCCGAACGACGCGAGATATATCGAAGGACAACCGTTCTCCGACGCGATCCACCGCGCACAGGTGGGCCGTGCGTGACAATCCGAACAACCGATCGGATTGGCCTTTAAACCGTGGTCCGCGATTCTCCGCTCGCTTTGCTTTTCACTTCCTTCACGCATTTCTCTCTCTCTCTCTCTCTCTCTCTCTCTCTCCCCCTCTCGTTTCGCTATTTCTCCGACTGCGCGTCTCCGTCACTCTATTCAACAATCCACTTATCCAACTGGCCCTTCGTCCGTTCATCCATTTATGCATAACTTTAACCATCTATCGATCTGCCGATACGATCCTTCGTCTATCCATCCATATGTCTCTTCGTTTGCCTATTCGTCTATTTA